TTATTAGCAGAAGCTGGAAAAAACCGCTCCACTGTTGATCTCCTTGCCAGAATCCTATTTCTTTTTGTATCTGGGCCATTTTATAAATTTGGGACCCTTCCACTTTTTTTGGGCCCGTACCTGTTACATCTGAGGATTTTATAGTTCTGATACACTCCTTAATGCAGTTGTCCACTAAGAGTGATTATGAACAGCAAACTACCTACCCAACCAATAAATAATTGATTAAAGTCATTCTTAATTCAACTTGAAAGGCAAATTACAAAGTACCAAGGAAACTGGGAACAGGAATGTCACACTTTGCACCCTTAATAAATCCCTAACCCCTTAGGGCCTTTCTGCTAGGTAGGAACCATCCTCAATTCCCTCCAAATGTTTGCACTCATGTTCAAATGAAGGATACCCAGCACCTCAATCCGTCAAAACCGTCAGACAGTCCTGCCTCAAAAATGCATTCAGCCTCAATCCTCCAAAATCCTCCTCTTCTTCAAACACCATTCATCCTCAAACCTCCAAAATCCACATGTTTCTCAATCACCATTCATCCTTTATCCTCCAAAATATCTGCCATGAAGATTTTGGAGGATTTGAGGGTTAGGGGTGAGCTAATTTTCAGAATGATCCATGTTTAATTGCAAGTTATTTAATTGTTACATCCTTTCACCTTCATGGCAAATTTCATGAACACAACTACAGAACTTTGTCTCCTCTGCTCATCCCACTAATTTTGTTTTGGACGGAGAATACTGTAAACGAAAACTACTAATTCCTATTTTTTCCACCCCTATTTACCAACCCCCCCCCTAACTTCTACCAGTGACACGTGTGTGTGACTAACTTGCACCAAGGAAATTACAGTGCTTTGTACGGTGTACGTGAGTGCCAGGCACTGGGGTGCTGTCCGCTGACATTTTAGAAACCACTATGGATTGATTTCCACAATAAAAATCCTTCAACTCTCGGAACTCTCAATCTTAATCACATGATCAAACCAAGCTGTAAAGAAATGGTTCTGGGTCAGCACGTGCCCCTGAAATAAAAAAAGAGGGCTGCACCTCTCTTTAGTATATCCTCCCTGACATTTCAGTTGAATATTTTTTTTGGGGGGGGGGGGGGGCTGTGGAATTGCGGGGCAGGAAGAGTTCTATGAGGGGAAAACACTTGATCTCCAGAAAAGTACACTGACTCTTAATGAGCTGCGGAACAGCGTAAAGAATCCGCTGAATGATAGGTAAGGAATGCAGCTGGTGCTGTCGAAGGGGGCAAGGGGGGGGGGGGATGGAGGGAGATGAGGGGAGAAGGGGGGGGGGGGTGTTGGAAAGTTTGGGGGTAATGGAAAAGGGGGGGGGGAATGGAGTCCCTTGACTTGTGATCATTTGCATTTACCCCAGCAATTTATTAAAAAGCTTAATTGGATTCAAGATCGTACTGTACTAAACACCTCTTGAAATTATTCCATCTGGCTTGCTGTCATTTAGAAGAAATCAAGAAATGCAGGTGATTTCCAACGATCAGTCGATTGAACGATTTTTGGAATACAGAGTTAAACTGACGAGGTGATGTTTTGTGATAAAAAAAAATTGAGCATGATTTTTAACTGTTTTCTCTAAAACTGTAGTATCCACTGAGCTGAAACTTCAACAGGTTAGGTTTTGAACATTCTTCTTTGGATTTTGAGTGGTGTTATTATTGGAAACATACAAAATGCATGAACAACAAATGATCCTATATGCAAAATGTTCCATAAAATGCATGCTGCACTTTAAGCTCCATCTCTGAAGAGAAAGCTTTGGGATTCCAAACCATGACATATTGTGAAGTTATCACGAGAATGTTGTCCTGAATGTGATCTGTCTAAATGTCATAGAAACAAGTGCATGCATTTTTTTGTCTGGTGTAAATGTCTGACCAACTGATGTTTATTTTTATATGTCTAATCCATTACTGGTATGAAGATGCCAGAGGATCGTAAAAGTGATAAAAAAGTACGCATAGACCTGAGACCTCTCTTCAAAAAAAAATTTTTTTACTTCCTATCCACTTATATACAAAATTGTTTCACAGTTAGGGCTGTGCATCAGAACTGGGTGTCCGAGTTCCCGACTGCTGATGTCGGAAAAGTTGGAGCAAGGTAAAACTAATAGGAAAAGTAAATGGTTAGTGAATAACTTTTTTGCACCAAAATGACAGAACTGAGTTGTTTACTTCCAAGAGCGCTGAAACGGTCCAAGGAATGTTTGATGGGATCGATCAACTGGTGTAATAAAAAAGTGAAGAACTTCAAATGATCTTGTTAAAAAAAACTCTCTAATACACAGTAGTGTTGTGCATTTCCCATTATTGGATCTTGGATTTGATAGAACAGTCCAATATTTGAACACTGATATTGAGGTAAAACTCTTTTATGAAAATTATGTATGTACTGTTTTGAGATAGTTTGCTAGCTGAATTGACAGATTTAAGGGATACAAATTAGCGCTAATATTCCTCAAGGAAATTCTAAAATCGTGCGTGTGAAGCGTGTGTCCACATTTGAAAAACAAAATTACATTGTGGACTTTTGGGCATTTTCTGGAGAAGGCTCACATTTTGGAATATTCTATTTGGTGAAAGGCTACACGGATGATGATGGAGTATTCGGATTTAATATTGGGTAATGCCCTCACCGAGGTATTTTATAAACACTGTATACTCGGTGTTTTCTCACAATCACTCGGGGTAACACTGAATATACAGCGTTTATAAAATACGTCGGTGAAGGGCAAAACCCAATATTGAATTTACATCACCCCGACGCAAAATCCATCTTATGAATAGAGCATTCAGATGTTTGGTATACTTGGCACAGCACTATGTAGCAATTTCGTGTAACACACAGGTCCCTGACATTTCTCCAAAAATCGTATCACACAGGTGGCTTCCTGTAAAGCTTCGTTCCTCACTTTTGTGACTCCCAAAAATCTTTCATCAACTATGCTTTCCTCAGGGGAGCATGATGTACAGAATCACCCCTAGCCCCTCCCCACCCCCCCCCCCCCCTTCCCCTCACGACATGCATTGATCATGTTGATGAGATCTAAACCCTTCCACAATGCCGAAACATTCAACTTCCTGTGAGCGCAAAGGCCTAGGGTGACGCTCTGGCGTTATCAGGCGATTGCAAGCCTTTAACCTTTTGCTCGGGCCAACTAGGTTTTTTTTTTCAATCGGGTGCTGGGCACCCTGATCCCTTGGGATTCGCTGGCATCGTGCCAGTGCACATGTGGTTTTTCTCATCAGTTTCATCTAGGAATCAGGTGACTCCACCTATCTTAGCACCCTGGTTTGTGCTTTGGATCTTGTGCATTCTATCAAAATGCTTATCTTCTACCTTGGCTTTTGCCCTTTGCCTGGCATAAGCTTTCATTCATTGTACACCCAGTGCTTCCTTTAACCTAACCCTGCTGAATCCAACAGGATCCAACTATGTCATATACCCGATGGAGCATGTTGGATTGAGCAGTCAACCCCTGGTGTACATTCCTGATGCAAAATGTTGGATTCAGCAGACAACTGAAAATGAGGCACAGTGGATTGAGCAGGAAACTCCGGTTGGACTCTGTTTGGATTTAGCAAGGTAGTCCTGAGGAACTACTAGGGGAATAGGGTTGGGGCTTGTGAGAAGAACAAAACATCACAAGCTTGCTCAGATGGGACTTGAACCACAACCTCCGGCTTGCAGGTGCAGAGTTCTTAACCACTCAACCACTGAACTTGCTGGGGTTGGCTGGCTGGTTTAATCTGATATAGCACCAGGTAAAACAATCAGTTACCATTGATGGAGTTTTTTACATTGGAGAGTTCTAAAGTTTGTGGGTTTTTGTCCATACAATCTCTGGAACAGTACTGAGTAAAAAAAACCTACGATTATGGTGGTCAATAGCAAAACTCAATATTACTTTACTAAGCCCCCCCCCCCTAAAAAAAAGCACCACAAAACACAAAATGCAAATATTCTGATAAACATTTTTTTTCTCTGATGAAATCCATGTGGCAGGCGAAGAGAAGATATACCTTAAGTCCAATGAGAAAATCAATGGGCAAATTCCTCACTGACAGTTGAAATATGTGAATCCTCAAATAGTTCTTCTAACATCTTAATTAATGATGTCAAAACAGATTCCTCCTGAAAATTCCACTATCCTCTGTCCAGAAATAAAATTCCCCTCAAAAAGTTGTGCCAATTACAAATGGTATCACTTCTCAAATAGAAACCACATTCTGTCGTCAAAATTAAATTCAGATAGTTGAACTGTATCAAGTCAGTCCTATCCAGTCAATTCATTGATTTTGCACCGACACTGACATACATGTAACAGTAGTGCTTTAACCATCCTGCTGTCTCAACAGTCACAGACAGTCAAAAAATCAATCCTCTTCCCCTGCCATGCCTTTTACACAGGCTAATCACCAACAGTCAGATCATATTTTCCGCAAGCACTGTGACTAGTCAAATTCAGTCAACGGACAAAAGCAGGCAAGAAGTATGCACAGCTGGCATATCAATCAACTTACAGTCACAGCCAGTTAATCCTGCTTTATGTACATGTAGCCTGGGAGCTCTTAACTGTTGAAAACAGTCACTCGATTGATTTTGACTGAAAGGACAGCTTTGAACAGAATGAATGTTTGCAAAGGAGGGTTAAGTTTTCATACCAACATTTGGGGGACCAGGTTGGCGTAGCGGCACTTTCCTTGCCTTCCACCTCTGTGACCCCGGTTCGAATCCCGCCTGGGATGGGTGTATTGGGTGTGTCAGTCCCTACCTGATTCCATTCATTTTCCCCTGGAAGGTCATTCCAGGGTTTTCCTCTGAATGTAAGTAATTTCCATGCAAATCCCACTGGACACCACTGGAAATAACTGGGGTTTTTTTCAAGGGCTATCCCGACCAATTGTCAAATAATAAATTCTAAATAAAATAAATAAATAAACGGTGAATTAATAGCTTGAACTCTGACCTCAGTTTCCCACAATGCCTTGGAGCTGGTGGCAGCGGTGGCAGACACCCGTCCCGTTGTCCTCAGGAAGATGTAGCTCTTCTTCTTGTACTCGTCACATGTGAGGAATTTCTCTTGCTCAGCATGGAAGAGTCGCACAACATCACCCTGTCCACCAAAAAATAAAAAAAGTATACTAAAAATAAATATATAACATAAAATAAATAAATAAATAAATAAATAAATAAATAATTTGATTCTCTACATATCACACACATCATGATCAAGTGATCATTTTGTCCATTTTGTGATAGTTTTCCCCAAACCCATAGACTTTGTACACAATTTTCTACACTGAACTTGGATAATTGTATGTCGCAAGGCATGATTACCTAAATTTGGAGCTACAGAAAAAAAGGGGGGAAAAAGCCATATGTTCTGTTTATAGAAACACAGACCTACAATCTGTTGTATAATTGCATTTTACCCACAACTGAATTGATTGTACATTGTACTGTCCGCTTCCATTGGAAATAAAGGTACCGGTACATTAAATACCCAGTATTCACGCAAGTCTCTTACATTATCAAAGAACAAAAAAACAGATAAGTGATTAAAATCAGTGATATCAATCATTCATCTAGCAAATAATGCAGCAGCTTTGCCTTTCTCAATTTGCGCCCATGAAAGGCACCTTCATTTCAGGAATCATAAACTATGAAATTGAATTTCCTACAACACACATTGATATAAATATTTTTTTAATTTCGGTTCCACTCAACCATAGATGCATTTTCACAAAAAAATAATCATTATTCATTTAAAGGGAAAAGAAGAAAATGAAGGAAAATGAACGGTTGGCGCCATGCAACTCCACTTGATTGATTCACATAGGTGCAACTAACATTGTATTTTTTTATCACTGTTTATATCTCTTGGTAATTTGATAGTTTCCATCTGTAAAATGAATTTTCGAGCATTGGTAAAAAAAAATGAGGTATGATGCAACTTTTCTCAAAAAAATCAACCGTCACACATATCACTTCTGTATTAATTAAAATAATATACATTATTTTATTTGTTTATTTCTGTTTGTTTGTTTATTTGTTTGGTTTGTTTACTTATATAGTTATTTTTTTGGCCTCACACAATAAAATCCAGACCCACAAAGACAAACGGATTTCAGTGTGATGCTGCTTTTTGAGCTTCATTTGCAATCAATAAGACCAAGCAAAAAAAAATCCAGTTTCTCATCTTGGCCCGCTTCCTTTATTTCCAGGCCGCCTCCATTTAAAAAAAAAATCAATCAGTTGCAATATCTAGTATTTTATGTTCTTCTGGCAAAATTTTAGCTATGCATGCAAGTTTAGAATCTGTTTTAAGGCATTACTTGCAATTCAGTATTTTATGTTCTTCTGGCAAAATTGTAGCTTTGTATGTAAGCTTAGAATCTGTTTTAAGGCATTACGACTCATTTGGACACAAAAGTATCAGCAAAAGTTTAACAAAAATGGAAGAATCCATCTTGGAAAATCTGCATAAAAAGAAAAGGAAAAAAAGGGCCTCTTCCTCCTTTTTTCACAAAGCCCGGACGAGAAACTGTTTTATAATCTTTTACTTGGCCAAAATGAAGAATTTTTGTGTGTGTTCATTCTGACCACAATGGTGCACCATAGAACAGGTATTCTTTCCGTGGAAAGTGAAAGGAAACGAACAGTTCACAGGCTGTGTGTAATCTGCGTGGGAGTGAATCCTTTTCAAACTAGGGAATTTCCCCTGTTTGCTTTAATCTTGCAAATCTTCTCAAAAACTGCATCAACCTAATACACCCGAGGGATATACTTGGACAGGATTGGGCTGCTTTCCTGTATTTTCCGGTTATTCTTTAAGATTTGGCTCAATTTGAATTGTCACTCGAGGGATATATTGCAGATACACGTACGCAGGAAGAATGACTAGTACAAGATGCTAGAATACAGAAATGCACAATCTGGGAGGGATGCTGAAATTATTCGCGGAAATCTTTTGGCAAATTTTCAAAATAATAGAAATATTGGATCATTTGCTTTACATGCATTTTTTTTTTTCTTTTTTAACAATACCACCACTCAAAATCCAAAGAAGAATGTTTAAACCAAACCTGTTGGAAGTTTCAGCTCAGTGAAAATGACACCATTAGAGACAACAGTGAAAAACACCATGCAAAACCTTTAGATCACACTGACAATACGTGATTTTCTTCAAATGTATATTCCAGAATTCAGTCAATTGACTGATCGTTGGAAATCATCTACATTTCTTGACTTTTTTTTCGGAATGACAGCAAGCCAGATGGAATAATTTCAATCTTTTATACAAATAAGTTTTATTGATAATAATTTGGTAGGTTACTTTTGGGATACATGCAAATGATTCTATGTACCAAGGAAGCTGCAATGTCAATATGGATTAATTTTTAATTATTATGTCATTCAACCCAGTGCCAATAACTGCTTCTTTTGTGTAAAACCTTTAGCCTTAACCCTCCTCAATCCTGCAAAATCAACCGGGTGGTTTTGTTCCTCCATTTGGAGAATTGAGGCTGAACGCAAGTTGAAGTTTTGTAGGATTTTGGAGGATTGAGGGCACATGGTAATTTAGTCCAGGCTGATTTTGCTGAATGTCTTTATGAACAGCAGCAGGATTTGGAGGATTGAGGATGAATGCATTGTGAGAGGTACATGTAGGGCTGTTGGAGGATTTTGAAGGATTGAGGCAGTGGGTATCCTTCATTTGAACATGATTGCAACAGTTTGGAGGATTTTGAAGGATTGAGGATGGTTCCTAGCAAAAAGGGCCTAGGGGTTAGGGTTAAATCAAAAATCCTTCTCACCCCTTTCAGAACCTCATCCAGGTTTTCCTTGTGTTCCATGAACAGGGAGACCTTCCAACAGGTGTTACAGTTGACAGAATTCACCTGAAGATAAGAAAATAATCAACTGTCACAAAGGGAATATACATCATTGGCTTTTGCTTCAATTTTCAGAAATGAACTATTTAAGGGCTTAGTCTAATAGATCAAATATTGTAACACTGACATGTTTGAAGTTTTGTGTTCGAAAATGCTGGAAAAACCAAGAAAAACAAAAATGTTCAAGTAGTCTGGTTCCCTGACTCCACTAAATATAAAATGGATCAAAATACAGATGCCGGAAAATTGTAAGCTACTGTATTAGGAAACCAGTCTAGCTGGCCTGCACCCGTTCATGAACATTTAAACAATAGCAAACGAAATTTGGACTGAAAAAAAAATGGTAAATTTGGAGCAGTAGTTGAAAAATAGTTAGGTTTTCCTACGGTGGTCGGCCGACCACCGTTGAAAATTTCTACAAAAATACCATTTTCTTGAAAATGACTTGACACCAGGTGCCATAATTTTACAGGATGCTTTAGACTGTCATTTACCAACATCCTAGTAAGGTATTTCGTAAAAACTTGGTAGTTTTGCTTTTCGATGTTTGCAAATGTTGTATATTCCCTTCAAGTGTTTCTTAAAATTCTCAATATTAGAAATAATTGCGGGAACAATGCACGTACCGGTATTTCACAAATTTTTGCTTTTACACATTTATATCCACCCTAACTGTCCCAAATCCATCATAATCCACACCCTGGTTTTGGTGAACTTTGGCGAATACGGTACATAATACAACGCCTGAATAAATCCCTGTTGTCTGATTGGTTGGTCGTTGATTGCATGTCATTGAACTATTCCTCATAACCCACGGCCCGTGTCTCATGTAATCAGAGGAAAATTTCAAGGCTATAATTAGGGAAAAATAATTCCTGTCTTGTTCTGTATCAATTTTAAAATTTAAAATTTGACATCTCATTTGGCACTACTATGAAGGCATAAAACAAGAACTTTGCTTCAAAAAAATCCAAATTTCAGGGCAATTTGAATTTTATACAAGTTAAACATTTATGGCAAATTGTTTTTTTCCATCAATGTGATTAATTGCATGTGAATCCTGGATATTGCATTCAGATCATAATAAGATGCGTTTCCACAGTATAAACCACATAAACCACACACCCTCTCAGTAAGAACACTGATGATTTTGACATTTACATTTTCTTCACATGTTCTTGTACAAGTACAATTGTATGATACTTGAGACAGACGATTACATAATGTGTCACTAGACCAGTGAGGAAGGCTACATGTACATGTCAATGAGGTTCTTAAGTGCATGTGAGGCCGAAAATCAATTTGTGCAGTTTTTGATGTGCTAGTGGGCGTTGCTTTTAAACATCTGATTTTTTTGCTCCATTCAGGATGCACTATGCTTTAACACATACATGAGGCTACATGTGGATTTTCATATTAAGATTATATTTTAACAAGAACAGGGCTAATCCTTAACATTCAAGACTGATGGTACTGGGCTTAACACTTGCATGCAAGTGTTTTGAATAAGGTACATTTAAGAAGACATCCAAAATCAACATACTTGTAGTTGTGCTGTCTTGCATATATACGGCTGTCCCAAATATTCAAACACTCGATCATCAACCAAATTTTCGAATAGCTTTTTACCGGTTCTAATATTCAAGAGAGAAAAAAATTACCCACATACGCACACGACTGTGATGGTATTTTCATCGTAAAGTTGCGTTGCTTTATTGTCCGATGCCACTTTTCTGTCTACCATAACTTTTTGTCGACTTTTAAAGCCCTTTTAAATACTAACAGCAAACACTTGGGCGGCCCACAATATCATTCGCTGCGCCACATGCAAAAAAATTTGGCGTGCTTTGCATGAACTTTTGATCGGCGCGGCACATAGTTGATCAGTGAGTTACGAATATTCGGTCAAACAGTTTTGAATAATTGAATTCTTAATTATTCGAAAATGGACAGCCTTAACAAACCCCCAGGCTAACTATATAACAAAACACATTTGACTGTTTGGTAGATTATACTGCAGCAATACATGTATTTGAACCTCGGGAAAAATAGGGGAAAAGTGTCCTGACAACTCCCAAAAGTGTAATCTCTACAGAAACTGGAAACAAGAGGAGAAACAAATTGGAAATCCTATTGAAGTAGGAAAACTATCCTGACTGATACTGTAAAGCAGTGTAAGATCAACATTGAAGCCACGTACTACATGTACACAGTGCTGAAGTTTTTCCCTTCATGAGTCACCCAAAATGGATACTAAGCTGATCTCATCGTAACTTACAGTCTGTTTGTAATACCACTTTCACATTTCATATGAAAGTGAGATAATAGTGATCAAATAATACGGTGAAACCACACATTCTTGAGTCACGTGGAAGTGAGATAATAGTGATCAACTACATTTTCTTGATGTCATTCAGTCTGCTTTACTCTCACTTCCGTTGAAGTACAGTTGGCCGCGACAATGTTGTATTTTTTATGTATTTATGTATTTTTATTTTGTTTTGAGGCTCGTTATTGTGGTTGTAACCAAAAACTGGTGCCCTTTCACACTGGTTTCGTTATTTGGCAACTTGGGTAGTGCACTAAAATAATGCATTACTGCTTTACGGATTATGCCTTCAAAAACTATGAGAAAGATCGAATCAGGTGGTTATGACCAGCAAAATTGCCAATTTATCCAAATATTGCCAAAGATTAAAATGAGTGAGGCCGAGTCTTAAAGCCAGAGTCCATCATTTGCAGCTATCCGAAAGTAACTGACGTTATTATTGTTGAAAAACATACTTGGTTGAAAGATAGTAAGGGGACTAAACTCCCTGTGAATTATTCTTTCTGGCAAGCTGTCATTTTGAAGTAATCAACGAAGGAAGGCCTTTCCAACAGTGCTTCATAAGACGCACCGTAGGAAATTTAAATTAGTAGTTCGTTTTGTTATTTGGCGAAGCGCACGCAAGCATATTGGCACGACGCACGCGCGGTTGCTATAATTCGTCGGATCAGTGCGAGACATCGCGTAGCTGCAATCGGCTCAGTGAGAACGTGTCTCAGACGCTGAATTCAGGCCCAATTCAAAACATGATTCAGCAACTTTTGATTTGAAATTGAGATCCTAGAATGCTGTTTTCCTCGGAATATACAGCTGAAGCTGAGCTGAAACTTCATTAGGTTAATTGTTCAGTACCCTTCTTTAGATTTTGAGCACTTTTGTTGCTTCAAACGAACAAAATGCACAAATTACCAATGATGGGCTATATCTTTAAGTACAAGTTGAAACCTGAAGTCTACACATCAAGGCAAAGTCATTTCCATAAGAAACTATACATGTACAATTTAATTTTCCCTGTTGCGACTTTTTAATTAGATGACCTTTGTTAGTATTTAAGTATTTGGAGAAATATATGCAGTCTTTTGTTCAAAAGCATGTCAAGCATATTTCCAAAGAATCCACCTGCCTTGAGGAATCCTGGCATGAATACTTCGTTATCTTAGAATCTTGTCTGATTAGGCTGACATTTGGGTATTGCAACAGATAAAAACAACTGACTGATTTTTTTTCTGGTAAGCAGAAAATACACCACATGCAGAAAATGTGCCGCATGCACCCCCCTCCCCCCCCCTCCCCCCCCTGTGGATCTTCCTGTGTAATAACATGACTATTGAAGTTGTCATCACCACCCTGGGGATATAACTGAGTAAAAAGATATTCAACCAGTTTCTCGTACCCGCACGCTTCCTCTTCCCCTCCTGCCACCTTTTTTCCTAGTTATTTTAAAATCATTCATTTGCAATATATCTGAATTTTTCATTTGCTTCCAGCAAAATTGAAGCTATGATTGCAAGTTCAAAATCTGGTTGAAAGTGTGACTGCTCCTTGGACACAAAAATATCAGCAAAGGGTCAAGAAAATGGAAGAATCCAACTACTATCTTAGAAAATCCGCCTTATTAAGGAAAAAAAAGGCCGCCTACTACCTTTTTTTTCAAGAAAGCCAAGACGAGAAACAAATTTCTTTTTACTTGTCTAATGGCCTGTAGATTGTCATCTCAGTCTTCCTTGTGGAGATTTCCAAATGATTCCAGGCACTCATTTCGAATGTTAAAGGTAGGGTAGATCATTTGTCATTTGTGCATTTATTTTTTCATTTAAAGCAACAAAAGTGCCCAAAATCTAAAGGCGGATGCTTAACAACTAACCTGATGAAGTTTTAGCTCAGTGAATGCTGTATATTCCCAGAAAACTATATTATAGGATCTCGATTTCAATTCAAAAGTTGCCGAGTCATGTTTTGAATGGCGCCCGAAATCAGCATCCAGGACACGTTCTCATTCGGCAGATTGCATGTCACGCACTGAACCGACGCTTAATGGCAACCCTGCACGTGTATACGTTTTGAAAGGGTTTTGCAAAAAGATTTATCATCGCTGACAATCACTATATTCCGGTAAGACTTTCTCCAAGCCACTCAGAAACTGCATCAGGAAAGTGATGCAGTGCTAGATTATGCTACACAGTCCTAGAGGTGGTTTTGGGTTTTTTGGGGTTTTTTTTGCATTACCAAAGCTTCCTTTGAGGCGCTCATTTGATGTAAAAACACCAAAAAAAGGCAAGCTCAGTACCCAATAAGAACACAAATATTGTAAAGTTATCAGATGAACATTATAAACAGTCAAGACAACATGACATCTACATGTAGGGATTGCTTCACTTTACCTATAAAAAATGAACCTTTACATTTACTTTTCCCCCAAAACTAAAATACTTCTTTGGTTTTATTGTAAATTTTTTGCCTTGATGGCACTCAATGTCCGCCTATCTTTCTTCCCCCCCCCCCAAAAAAATCCCACTCCCTACAAATTTTTTTTTCATTACCATTATTGCTTCGTCCTTCGGATGGGACGTAAAGCCGTAGGTCCCGTGTGTTGTGTAATGCATGTTAAAGAACCCAGTAACACTTATCGCTAAGAGAAGGGGTTTGCCCCGGTGTTTCTGGCAGTGGCTGCAATGTGCGCCGCAGCACCTTGTAAACCATTATAAGGGGAGAATGGGTCTCATATTTCTCATAAACTTTATTTACCTTTCTTACACGTCTCATAATTTGCGCCAGGAGTGTCATATTGACAGATATGGCGCAGTATAAATGTTCACTATTATATTATTATTATTATTATTAAAAAAAACTACCCCTTACCTTTAATATAAATTACGCTCATTGAAAAGGAAAACAGTATGTAGAAATGCCCAGCAAAACAAAGAAATAATGCCAAAATAAATTTGAGCCCACTCCCTAAATTCTCAGTCTTGAACCACCTCCGATGAGAAATATTATGAGTAACAATGCTTGAGATTCAGAGTGTAGTACATACCTCCTTACAACCAGGGTTGTCGATGAGTTCATAGTTGCTGGCATGCAGCGGCTGGCCAGCATTGACTGGGTTCAACACAACTTTGTCGCCAACTACAACCTGAATTTGAAACATAAAGTAACAATGATAAACATATGGGACCCTCAAGCACAAAAGAAACAGTCACTTGGGCCAAGCTTTGAAAACTGGGATTTTGGGCTCATGGGAAAGGACATTGAATAAGCTTTCCAATGATGCACAGGGTGAGTCAGAAAGATCTGGACCCACATTAAAGAAAACATTAAACGTATGTAGCAATTATCACAACAAGTGCAAATGAGATAAGTTATAGGCTGGTGGGCACACGCTAAAAAACACTCTGACCATGGTTCCATGGTTCAACAAATTTATTGACAGACTCAGTTGAAGTTGAATTGACTCAGTTGTCAGTTGAATTGACACATTTAAAAAAGGCAAACCAATTCCGTGTGCAGACTGGAAAATGAGCCACTTCAATGAAAATACAAAATAGCATAACTCCACACCACCGCCAATTGTTTGAAAAATTCAAAATTCCAGTGGAAGACAAGGTAATAACCATTCATATGAAACACTCTCAGTTATTTTCTCAATCTACTCTATTTGCCACCAAAAAATAATGAACTTGGGTCCAGATCATTCTGACTCACCCTGTATAGAATATGGGGAGCGGACAAAATCCGACAGAGTTATAATATTTTCAGTTCTAATTTTTTGGGGGCCTCTGAAGGAAAACGAAATCAAGAAAATTTGTCATGAAAGTTTCCCAAATGAACTCCCTGGGAAATTTACAGATTAACTTCATTGAAAGTGTGTAACACTAACGAGGCCCCCTTTAATGGAGAAACCATTGTGCATGCTATTGTACAAATCAATTGCCCTGTGACAGATTATCTGAACAATACCTAGCACAACGCTTCCACCACTGAAGGAGGCCTTCATGATAGAAGTGATAAGGTGCCCCAATTGGTCCATTCCAAACCATCTTTGTGGACCCCATTGTGTCTGTTACAGTGTCAATCTACTGTAATGCAATTTCCTTGCAAAATAAAAATTGTTTGGGCCGATTGCAAAGTAACTTACATTATCGCCAGCTGATCTGAGCTTGTAGAAGGGTACGATGTAGAACCAGGAGCCCTCGTTGCCTGAGGAGTCTAGGGTGACTCTCATGGCGTTCTTCTCCAACAAGGCTGGTAGTCTCTTGTTGACTGTCATGTATTTATGACTCTTGATGTGCAGCAACTGCCAGATGGAAGCACACAGAAGGAGAATGAACCTGTTAGACCTTGTACAAAGTTGGCTTTTCGAGGACTAGTATTTTGCCATCATTCATGTGTTTCTCTGGTTATTACCTCCGTCAAGGAGGTTCTGTTTTCATCGGAGTTGGTTAGTTTGTCGGTTGGTTGGTTTGTTGGTCGGTTGGTTTGTCTGTTAACAAGATAACTCAAAAAGTTATGGACAGATTTGCATGAAATTTATTTTAGGGGTGGTCCTTGGTACAAGTACAAATCGATTAGATTTTGGAAGTGATCCGGATCTGGGTCTGGATCCAGGATTTTTTAAAAGGATTCTTCACCATTTATGCGAGTATTTCTGTTGGGTGTACTGACAATATGGCCAAGAATTGTTTAGCCTTGGCGGAGGTTTGCGCCCTTTGAGTGCTTTCTAGTTCTCTCTTGTTTCCCGCTCCGTTATTTAGTACAAATTGAGTGGTGGAGAAGGTTGTCTTCGTGATAATGGAGACGAGATGTTGCTATCGCTCTATTTGTGCAAAATAATGGATAGGCGGAACAATAGCGTGAAAATCACAGGTTGAGGTTAATATTAGAATAACCCCGAACCAGATTTGTAAATGTTGTCTTTCAAAAAAAGCCCCACATTTGGGACCATTGTTTGTAATTCTTTGGGACCATTGTTTGTAATTCTTCAATTGAGCATTTTTTAATACTTCTTTAATCAGGGATTAAGTGGTCTCTGACATTTTTGCCTGAACATAAGGTACAAAGGAAAAGTTTGCACACAGGTATCGTGCCAATATGTTTAATTTACAATTTGAAAAAAAAACACCTGAAATCGGGTAATTGCAGGATGACTGATTGAATATACACAAAAGTAACCCCCAGAGATCATGTTTTTGTTCAATATTTTTTTTATCACACGACTTTTAAATCTCTATACCCACAAAAAAAAATAATCAAGTTCCAATCTACGACAAAACCTAATATTAAAATGAAATAAACAGAGAAAAATATATAACTAACTCTGACTTTCAAATTATAATTGAACATAATTAAACACCTCTCCAGATGTTCTGAAAAAAAAATATCAAACTGTATTGGAATAAAATTACATTAAAAAGGACTGAACTGCAAAACAAATGACATAATAGCAATTGACAGTTCTAAATCAAATTTTGCTTTTCAAATGTCAACAAATTTACAAATGTGCATTACCTGGATGACGTTGCCATAGACAATGACACTGCCCATTAACTTCTTGTTCTCTGTCTCGTTCTGCTTCTTCTCCATCTCAGCTGCATGCTGTGGGGCCAAGACACAGAAAGAGTCACAGTCAAATTACAGACGAAAAACATGAGACATTCTGGCGAAATGAAACAGAACTGGGCACAGGCCCGTAGAGGAGGAAAATGCAAATGTTTTTTTTTTTTTTTAGATTTTCAAATTTATTGATATAATTCTTTGATGTGTCTACTACACGCATTTTATATAAGTTGTATAAAAATTGTGGAATCAAAGTGTTTTTAAGGAAAAACAATCGGCATCTTTCATTTTCATGACTACAAAACAGTTGAAACTTTATAAATAAAGGCCTTTTTCTCAGTATTTTACTTTTTTTGATACTGTATGTCGATAAATGCAAACTTTAAACAGCCATAACATGTCCGATTCAAGTGCTACATAGAGTTTTGTCAGGAGAATGTTATCTTTTTCCTATAAATACCTGCAAACCCTTGAGACCTCTGCCCATTTCTGTCTCGTTTTGCAAGAACGCCTCGCATACACGTTTATGTATATGATGCACGGCAATTCTACTGGAACTTACATAAACTGGGGGGGGGGGGGGGAAGATGAACTTTACCAACAGTCAGATACTGTGTAGAATAAATCTAGTCATGAATGGCTCCAGTGCAGAGAAAAGGCCATTTCTTTTTATGGTCATATTTTAATCCGACATATACCATAAACCCTACGTTGCTTTAGGGCCCTCGGCAGTCCTCAAACCCTCTGCCGATTAGTTCGAGGACTTTTCCTTTCCTCTCAATCTCACCCCCAGTGTTGGAGTATTGGAGGGGGCACAGATGAAGGAAAGAGAGGTAAAAGAGAGGGGAAAAAAATCCCCCATACAGGTGTAAAATGACAAAAATGTCTCACTTGCCACTGTAGGCCTACACTAATGTCCAATGGTTAGATATTCTATGAGAGGGTTTCATGGTCTTGTTGGACTAAAGTATCCTAAATCGGCCAAAATCCACCAATTTTGTCAGGCAAAGAATGTTGGTGTCCTGAGTCCATCAGAATCCACCAGTGAGTCCATCGGATCCGCTAATGCAGTAATATACCTTGTACACACCAAACATATAGCCAAGGAGTTAAACTGTTGAGATCCTGAATCCATCAAAGTCCCACAACTGCTCGATATGGAGGTATCCTGAATCCATCAAAATCCCGCAGTACCGTTAGGCTTACTTGTCCTGAATCCATCAATAATGTTTCAATATGGAGGTATTGTGAATCTGCCGAAATCCTCCGAAACAGGGGTGTGGGTTTTGATGGATTCAGGTAAAAAATAACCAAAGCAACAGCTGCAAAACAGCCTACATGTATGTGTGGACATGTACATGTATTTGTTTGTTGCACTGTACCGGTATGTGTGTAAAATAATAACCTCAAGAATGATTGAACTTGCAATGAACTCCTAAATAGCTTCTTTTTTAAATTCAGTCAAGTGCAAAAGTTTTCTTTACTTTTCCAAATTGACCTACCGGTACCTGTACATGTACACACAGAAACATAATTAAAACACCCCATTTCCTTTTCATCCCTTTTATTTAAAGAAAGTAACTAATTCTCAATAGTGATTTTTTTATTTCAGTTCTAGAAAGGAATCTAAATTTACAAAGGTAACTAGTGCATTAAAGCTATAGTCCATCATTTGCAGCCATCCCAAAAAGTAACTGGCGTATTATTGTTGAAAAACATACTTGGTTGAAAGATAGTAAGTGGACTAAACTCCCTGTGAAATTAATCTTTCTGGCAAGCTATCATTTTGAAGTAATCAACGAAAGAAGGCCTTTCCAACGGTGCGTCTTAAGAGGCACCGTAGGAAAATTTAAATTAGTAGTTCGTTTTCTTATTCGGCGCAGCGCGCGCAAACATTGGCACGACGTACAGGCGCGCGCGGTTGCTATAATTTGTCGGATCAGTGCGCGACATCGCGTATATACAATGTAGCTGCAATTCAAAACATTCCAAAACATGATTCAGAAACTTTTGATTTGATATTGAGATCCTAGAATGCTGTTTTTCTCGGAATACAGCTGAAGCTGAACTGAAACTTCATCAGGTTAGTTGTTCAGTATCCTTCATTAAATTTTGAACACTTTTGTTGCTTCAAACGAACAAAATGCATAAATTACAAATGATGGACTATATCTTTAAGTATGTAGATTTTAAAATGTGGATTTGCAAAACAAATACCGGTAGGCTATGTACATGTCAGCGTAATAAAACGCAAAGTATTAATACATGTATCATATGTAATTTCTCTGTAGACATGTATAACAGCCGAGGCAACAACTGACAATGACATAATCAAATTAACAGCGCTGTCATCAGTGAAGCGTAAGAGTCTAATGACATTAAGTGCCAACGTCGGTGACAGAAAATCAATGTTTCCAGCGGCATCTTTTTGTCTGCTATTTATATTCTAATGTAATTTTGTTCAACAGAATTAAATTGTGTGGTTTTTTTCTTAGGCCAAAAAAAAAAAGTCTCCAGTTTCTGGTATGCGCGCGCGTCGCCGTAGCCATGCGCGTCGGCAAAATGAAAAAGGTTTTTTTTCAATGAAAGATGATGACTCAAAACGGCCAAACTCACTGGTTTGACTGGAATTCTGCTGCTGCACAATTTTAACGTGTTTTTGGATGCTTTATATGGCCTCTCTGGACTCCCATATATTTGCACTAAGTTTAGTCGGGCACCATTTGCAGTCATCAGCCGACATTTGAGGCAAAAAAAATCAGGTAAAAAAAAAAAAAAGCCGCGTCGCCGCACCACTTTTTGGGCAAGCTCCATAGCAGAAACCGGAGACTTTTTTTTGGCCTTATGTATTATTTTATAAATTGTTTTGATTACATGCGTGTACATGGGTTGGGTCATTTTTCCCTCCATATGCAATGCATTCTTACAAAATGTATGTGTGTGGCTGTAGTACCGATAGTATTTCAAATAAGAAATATATTACATTACATGAAAACTCCACAGTAACGGTATGTTGCTCTTTGTGCATTATAATGTAGCCAAATAAACAAGTAGGCCTACATGTAAGTTGTTCTTGGGTTGGCTGCAACTTGCGCAAGTTTTTACTTGTGTTTGTACACCAGGCTAGCAAAACAAACTAGATATTAGCAGTGTGTGTTTTTATTTTATTTTGTTTACAGTTAATGTTTTTGTTTTGTTTGTGTTTAACTACATGTTAATTGTATTGTTTCTGATGTGGAATTTGTTTTATTATTGTTGTTGGTTTTTTTTTTGGGGGGGGGGGTGTTTTCATAAAAAGAATTCGGGCTTTTACCTATGGCTCGTTTAATGTAAATCTTGTACAAAAATTTCTCACTAACATACACAGTTACCTACATGTATGTGCTACAAGATAAACCAGGCAGTTCACATAATCCGTGTTAAAGGTGAAACATTTGCCAACATTAACAAGCTCGATAGAAAATATCTCGGAAGCTGCGGGCAACGAATCGGTGTTTTAAAAAAGCAGGTTTTTGACCCCAGTGACCCCATGATGACCTTTGAACCCATTTTGGTCAAGTGACATGTTGGGGCTGGGCTACTGATACTTTTGACGAAGTTTGGTTGAAATCGGTCAAAACATGTAGCAATAGACAATGTCAACGGAGAGACATGATGATTTGTTGTGCTGCTATCCCGCAGCTGAAAAATGAAACTATCAAATAATTATGAAATATACCTTACTTGACTGTAAGTTAATAATTTTAATATAATCTAAAGCCTTGTGTATGCTGTCATTTCCAAGAAAAGTTGAATTTGGATCATTTTCCAACAACGGTCAGCCGACCATCTTTGGAGAAAAACTGCCTTTTTTTCCCAAATACTGCCCCCAATTTACCAATTTAGTTAGTCAACATTTTTTTTTGCAATTGGTTACACATCCGTGAACGGTTGCAAGCCAGCTTGTCTGGTTCCCTCAGAACCTGATAATTCCACAAAGTCTATAAATTGCTACGTTTCAGCTGAAGTAGGGTCAGGGAACCAGACTACAAGAAAAGCATTCATTTTTTTTCGTGGTTTCTCCAGCATCCATGAACACAAAACTTTTAATAAACAGGTCAGTGGAATGATATTTGCTATAAAACACTAACCCCCAAATCCATCCATTTCTGAATATTACAGCAAAAGCAAATAACACCTTTCCAACAAAAGACTACGGTCATCAATTTATCAGGCTCCACTGATCTTAAATCTACAGAAGAAAAGTCTACATCGATTGAATTACTGGGCCCTTACACACGATCAGCTTTACCAGGAATTGCTCATTTTTAACAACATTTTGGACAATTCCTCCTGACAATGGAAAACCACATGAGGTTATTAATGATGCATGACTTGAAATTCAGCACACGTGAATAACTGGTTCTCAATAAGAAACACCTACACAAGTTTGAAGCTTACATACATGTAAAGGTTATTTTACAAATTTAGGGTCCAACGTGTGACATTTTTCCTGTCCCTGTTAGATGTATCTTGGTACTTTGTAATTTGCCATTCAAGTATCGGTTGCATTAAGAATGACTTCAAACACTGTTTTTTTTAATTTTGCCTCTGAAGTTCTTGTTAAGATCGCAACGTCAGGCCGCCTTATTTTTTTAGATTTTATATTTCAGGTCAATTCAATTAGGAAGCAGTTTGCAGCAGTCTTCTTCATTTTCAATTTTTTTTTTATGTGTTGGGTAGGTTATTTGCTTTTCATAATCACTCTTGGAGGATTCTGCATTGAGGAATCATAATTATATGAACATCTACATGTATGTCAGAGGTAACAGGGGTAGGAAAAAGGTGGACCCTAAATTTATAAAATTGCATGTCCCACTAGAAATATGGATGCATAAAAAAATAGAATAAATATACGTTTTCTTTTCTGAGAAAAAATTAAGGAACAATTTCATGAATTTAGTCTTGCCCACAGAGTTTATGCACACCATGATAGTACTTTTATTCTCCTGAAATTGGTACTCGGCTTTTTAATGAATAAAAACAACAAAGATGGCCTCTAAGATGGCTGTTGAGCAAAAGGTCTAGTGTTAACTGCAGTATAACCAATCATAATCTACCAATGCTAATATTTACAATCTAACGAATCTTCCGTTTGCACGAGGAAATATGAAAAGAATGTCTGAGAGGCTTTGCAAAGATAAATTTAGAATGACAAAATAAACAGTAAAGTACTGCTGCTGCCAGTGCCAGACATACATGTATACATGTAAGACTGGAAAAGTCTAGAAACATTTATCCGTGTGTACACTTATGAATGTAACATTGCAAAAGATGGCAAATTGGAATTTGGAAAACTCTCAAGGAAAAATAAGACATAAATCAAAGTAAAAGTAAAATTTATAAAAGCCTTGAATGTACATGTTTCAATTACAAATGTAGGTTGCAGTCAAACCTCGTCCCCAGTGCTTACTTTATTTCCAACCTCGTTTCCAATAGTAAGCCCTGAAAAGGAAACTTTCTTCCTGTATCCTGATTCGATACCGCAATAGGCTAGTAATAGATTTATATCGTGTACTTGGTGTTGTTATTTCCAACGTGCATTACCTGTTTTCACAATCATTGTAATAATAACGTCCACGCCTTCTCAAAAATACCGTACTCCTTTCTGGTTTGCTCATCATTATGAAATGTGATACTGCATAGTGGCAGAATAATATTGTAACATTTTAACTTCGAAAACAATCATGTTTTCGTAACTCACGGCGCAACGAATTGTATGTACATGTATGTATTTAGCTACTAACATTCCCACACTTTTTGTTCTCAAAACTGAAGTTGAAGATTTTTTTTTCAGTCTTGTGTACAATACATGTATGAGCACATTTGCTAATTAATGTATACACGAGTAAATGAAAAACGTAATATTTGTTGGTACCCTAGCTGCATCAAATATTTGTTCAAAAGCTTTGTCCGATTTTTTTTTGAAAATCAGAAGAAAGAAAAAAAAAGGCCAGGGTCTCTTTTTGGGTAAATGGGGCCTACGGCACTATACAACCAATAATTATACACTGTATCACACTGTCTAATGTAAATGTATCCCAAGTGGACTTTATCTTTCCATCAATAAATGAACAATACTGTACATAATTACTGTGTACCAGGACATAAACTTCATGACTGATACTTCAGTCAGTTTGTACTGTAACTGTTTAGTAATGATCGCCAACCCATGCCACATGATTCAGTAATACTACAAATAGGGCAAAGTCCTTATGGGGATGGACTGTCTGTTGTTATTATTTTTTTATCACTGCGTGATAGTTGGGTTGGGCTGTGTTTGTTTTGCGTCAAATTTGCGCGTAAGGCTGCACGACATGATGTCAACTGAACTCCATGGGCCTAATTTGGAATACATGTACCAGAACCTGTGAATGTGGGGGAAATTATATATACATTGTACTTGCTACCTTAAATTCAAGTCTAAAAACAATACAATCTGCAGGTTGCTGATTCAACCATAGAGCAAGGAACAGAACCGTATGAATAGAACACTGAGCATGCATACATGTACGTGTTCAATGGCAATGAACACAAGTACTTGTAATTGTACTGAGTGTTTATTCATATTTTTTGTACATTACAATGCAGAAGGAAGTGTTGTCTATAGATACTATGTAGTTGAAAGCTATGTTAAATAAATGTTGCAAAGCCAACCTTTCACACATCTGTATGACCATTTCCTATAATTACCGGGGTATGTATTCATTTTTTAGTTGGCAATGCACTTGTATCAATTGGTTATGTGCATGTGCATAGTCCGGGTACTGTACCGGTACCTACTGAAGTAACACACAGATACCTGGGTACCTGTAAAAGAAACCCAACCCAAACATTCAAATCCCGGAAATTGTCTGAAGGGCTTTATAAATTTACAGTGTAAACTGCAACTTTCGCGAGCATCAATCTGCTGCGCGTTAAAATGCACATAAAATCTGGTTTGGTTTTCCATGTAGCCTGGTTTTCATTTTGAAAATTCCCCCCAGATGGTATTCAAACATTTCTTCTTTTTTTTGTCTGAGAAGTTACTTAGTAATTTGTAAAGTTGGTTGTGGGTCCCGTAATCTGGAACCGGTTCCTGACTTCAGTGGTCGGGTGCTCGGATACCCGATTCCAGTGCAAATGCAACCCTAGTATTGAAAATGTTTTTTTCCCTGAAAATTTAGCTGACCTCTCTCTTTTTATATTTCAGGGTATATTCAATTTGTGAGAAGGACAATGCAACGCAGAATCAATAATTCAATCAGAATCTCTTGGGGAAATGTCCAGTAAACGAATGAATGTGTGATATTTAGTCAATTTTTGCCACGGGAAACTGCTGAGGAAATCAAGGACCAATATAACAGAATTAACGTCATAAAAACCTGGGCCGGGATAAATGTATCCGTGCATGCAGATGGCGCAGTAAATAGGGAAAAGGTTGGAACACCAGTCTCTGTGAAACCCACATGTCAACCTGGAAAATATGGAAACTACCCAGCCATATCGGCACGCACACCTGTAACACAGATTAATATCTTCACGAGGAACCCAGATAAGGAAATTACCTCCAGGTGAACGGGTGGGGGAAGGGGGGAGGGGGAAATGGGTTTGGGTTCACTGACACTAGGGACTGCGCTGGTTGGTTGTTTAAGGGGGGAGTGAGAGAGTAATTTGGTGATATTTCAGGGGATTAACAGAAATGACTTTAGCTTCCTACATCAAGTTTGAGAGAAAAAGGTTGTTCTGCAAGACCATGGGGAACTTGAATTGCTGGCTTTTTTCCTGTAGATGGCCTCAGTGGTTTGTCCAAGACCCCCCTCCCCCCTCCCTCCCAGATCGCTCAACAGACTGTAGGCCTTTGTTGAGGAGTTATGATTTCTTTTTTTCAAAACTGTGAACGAGTCAGTGTAACAAATCTGTAAATACTAACCCCAAAATCCATCTATTTCTGAAAATTACAGCAAAAGCAAATGTTGTATAGTACCTTTAAATTTGCCAAGCAATAAAATTTGATGGGCAGTGCTTTCTGCTCACTTGTTACATCAAAATGGGCACTAGTCACAAGAAATGATAAGATTCCGTTTCGCTCGTACCCCCCGCCCTGCAAACAGGATGCTGGTAAGGGCTGACGTCATTTGAGCTCTCATTGGATAGATTTTGCGTGACCTGTGACGTAGAACGCGTCACACAAACTAGCTTCCGGTGCCCATTATGCGTAGCGCGCGCTAGCTCCATGCGAAGGTCAATCTGTACTTCCTTCACAAGATTCTGTGAAGCTCATCAGCCCTTACCAGCGCCCTGTTTGCAGGGCGGGGGGTACGAGCGAAAATCTTCCGTCTGTTATCTCACCTGCAGCTTCTTGAGCAGGACTGCATCCGTGGCAGAGGAAACATTGGGCTTAGCCGACTTCCAGAATTGTTTCTGGGCTGTGTAGCGGTTCATCGGACATATCTTGAACAAGCAATCTGAACCGGAGCAAAAAAAAGTTAATCATTAAATTTGGTATATTTGTGCTCTCTGAAAACTCCATGAGATGTATTAAAACAATTACTATACTGAAGTCCAAATTTGGAAGTGAACTATTATTATTATTATTCATGGTTTATTTATTTCATTTAAAAGATACATGGCAGCCCGAAGGCTGAATTATGGTCATTTTACAATTGTTAAAAACATTAAAGTTAAAACAAAATCGACAATGAACAATGATCCTAAAAGCTAAAATCAGACTGGTACATTGTATATAAATACGGTAGATGCACATAAAAACACTACAAAATGTACTTTAAATATGCTCTGAGCCTATGTTTAAATACTTTTCATAATTAGAACACTCCTAATTCAAAAAATGAAATTGTATTAATCCTTCACGTGGTTAACATTTTCTTTGCTCGAAGCTGGAAAACAGCAGTTCTTTACATGTACATTGTATGTGGCGAACACTCGAAAAAGCACACATTTATCCATCAAACGTCATTTTTTTGTCCTTAGAAAGATATGCTGCTATACCATTAGAGTGAAACGCTGCTATAATGAACACCGCTGTAACAAACATTTGGCTATAATGAATATCCCCGTTGGGTCCCGAAATATTAAATTCTATCATAATGCACAATCACTATAACGAACAACCACAATAAGGAACATATTTTATGGACCCCATGGTGTTCATTATAGTGGCGTTCTGTACATGTATGTCTAAAATGGAAAGAAAAAATTAGACTGCTAGACAAATTACTCTATTACATCACAAAGACTATATCATCTGATCTGACACAAAATAATCAAGAAAGAATTGCCTTAAGCGATGACCTTCCAAGCGACAGACAAGGAAGTTGGAATGATGAGTTTCCTATTATCAGAAAGATCACCTAGGCAAGGTATACAGGTACCGACCGGTACATGTCATAAATGCACAGACTTTCAACCCAAACCTTCCCAAATCCTCCAAGATCCTCCTTCCAAAATGAAGGATTTTGCAGGATTGAGGCTACATGGCAAAAATGTGTGGCTTATTTTGGAAGATGCACTGTGGCAAGGTCTTAGGCCGGATCTTGTGATTTTTATGCTCAACCGTACTATACATAAATTTAGGCCCAGAATATACTTGAAATCCTCCGCACTGCTCCAGGATGTCACTGGCTCTGCCTCAACATATTGACAGTGATTGCTGAAGGATTTTGCAGGATTGAAGCAGTGGTCACCCCTCCAAGGACCACATTCAAGAATTAATGGAGGATTTAGCAGGATTGAGGTTGCATCCTAGCAAAAATGCCTGGGGGGTTAGGGTTAATAAGTATCCCTCCTGCTGTCTGAACAGTCACAGACAGTCAAAAAGTCAATCCTCTTCCCAAGCCATGCCTTTTACACAGGCTAGTCACCAACAGTCAGATCGTATTTCAAGCAAGCACTGTGACTAGTCAAATTCAGCCAACAGACAAAAGCAGACAAGTGGTAGGCACAGCTGGCTTGTTAATCACCTATAGTCAAAGTCATAGCTGTATCAAGTAACATCCGGTCAATCCTGCTTTATGTCGGCTGGGAGCTCTTAACTGTTGAAAACAGTCACTTGATTGATTTTAACTGAGAGGACAATTTTGCACAGAGTATATGTTTGCATAGGAGGGTTCCTCACTTAATGTTTTATACATATGGGTCATTCCACCGGGTTGAGGAACAATGTGTGACATATGACCATATTAAGAAAAATATGAATGCCTTGCTAGCAGTTGCTCTACATAATATTTGTTGTTGGGTGTTTCACGACTGCAGAAAGTTTGAAATGATTTCAATGTATTTTGCCAAAAATATGAGCAAAAAATGTCATTTTGTGTTACGTCCAAATGTGACATTTGTACCTTTTTTTTTTAAATTTCTGCGAAACGTCACCCAAATTCACTTTGCGTACTTCTTAATATACATGCAACACAATAAGAAAAGCTTTTGTCACGGTAGTCAGGTATCAAATGGAGCAGAAATGATAACTTGGTTGTGTGGATGTAACATTGACACGGTGTAAAACCCAAATGTCACACTTCCATTGAGTGATTTTTACACCGTTACATCCACACTTGAGGTATTGTTTCTGCTATATTTGAACCCTGACTATACCAAAACAAAAGCTTTTATTGGTGCTCACATGTAGGTGTCCAGTTGTAAATATGCAATGTCAGTTTGGGTAATATTTTACATACGTGTAAAAAATGGCAAAAAAAGAATATTTGGATGTAACATTGACACGGTGTCAATGTTACATCCGAATTAATACATTTTTGCTCATATTTTTGTCAGAGTACTTTCAAATGATTTCAAACTTTCTCAAGTATTGAAACACCTTAAGACAAATATTATGTTGAGCAATTGTTTAGAATGCATTGATACTTTTAATAACCAAATATATGGATGTAACATGCACTGCTTCCCAACCCATACATGTACATGGATGTTAACTCATGAGGATGTGTGTGTGTGAAACAATATACTCTTGCTTGGTTGAGTTACATTTTTCTGTTATGTCAGTCTACGTTTATGTGCAAATGTATGAGAACCTTTTAAACACCTTCAACTATCTGAAAGTTTTGAAATAAAATGGAGGGTTACTTCCACTTTCGGCTTTGGTAGTCAATGAATTTCTGTCCTCAATGGTTGAGAGTCAAAAAAGAAACCTGCTTTGCAAACATGTATTTCAGTGATATACAAATTTATGTATATTACAAGAACATACATGTACATGCATAGAACATTACTTCCTGAAAACGTTTCTATTAACATGGTAGTGGCAATCGTTACGACAGCCGTAACGCAATATTCATCTGGGGTGTTGGACTGGTTGTTTCATGTGCCAGTGTATTTTCTTGTGTTGCATGTTGTCAATACCTTAAGTTTGGAGACTCTCATGAAATACACAATACTGAGAGTCACAAATTGTCTTACTAGTAACTGACCATACTTCTCAATTCACTGCTCATCACATCCACAGTGTCCTGTTCGCACACAATTTAAAGAAACAAGGACTTCCTGCATCCTGCAAAATCCTTGAAAACCTGCCAGTGGATTTTAAAGTGTAAGGGTTAAAGTATCAAACCACAGTTAAGCCAATGGGCAATTCCACGGTTACTCACGTTACATTTCGTAACGTGAGTAACCGATTTTGTGCGTCTTGTTTATCATACATAACAAATTTTTCTGGATGTCATCTTTGGTGCTTAGGTAGGTCTACTGTAGGTCTACTCTATCTACCATGGGGATAACAGTTATTAAACCTTTTCAGTAAGGTAATTACAGCCCAGGGAAACTCAAAAGTACATGTACATCAAAAATGTAACGTGAGTAACCGTGGAATTGCCCCAATGGTGCTCATATTGTGGGGACATAATCACAAGTCAATTTTGAATTCTGGCAGGAACAGTCTGTTTTTTCAAGGATTTTTTCCCCCTCACATTTTACCAGAACCCAAACATTTTAGCTTTCATACATGCACATGTACGTACATTCTCTGTTGTGAAAACTTTCAAATGAAACTGAATGAAACGGGGATTGGCGTGCAGAACATATTACATACATGGGAAATTCGTGTTACGGGCCCCTCTTTAGTTTCGATCAACTTAGAGTCAAGGGTGTTTTTTTTATCATACAAAAATGACCTTTTCAACCTAAAGCAGACTTCTCTCAATTCTAATGACACCCTTTTAACAATTTTGAACAGTTTCTTGGGGTAAAAATGTTCGTACATGTTTTATGGTTGGTGCCGTGCGATTCAGCGTGCCTTGGGTGTTCACAGTACATAGTGGTAATCGCCATCTTTATCGATTTTCGTGTTGTGTTTATAAGTCATTTGTGTTGTGTTTCATTTTACATCCAAATTTCCTTAACAAATTCAAAACCCTTCCCTCTATCTATGACATACATACATGTACATGTATGTTCTTAATGTTACCAACTAGTTTGGTAAGTCAAATAAATTAAAAGTGGACTTTGTTCTTTTTATAGGGAACCGGGCTTGTGACTACACGATCACCATTATATGATCTCTATCAGACAACTTTTCAAATGAAAGCTCAAATTCCGACACTAACCTCTGAATTTCTTGGGTGGGTTGTTGAGATCACCAAAGTCCGGCTGTACTACACACCTGTCGTCCACAAGGCTGAAATGTTAAGAAAACATAAATTAAGTCAAAAATTTTATGTAAGACAAAAAGCTAAAGAATTACTATTCAACTATTCTGTTGTACATGTACTGCTTATAGTTTGGCATGTTCACGATTCTGAAAGAAACATTGTAGAGTGTCGTGGTCCAATAGTTACAGTGTTCAACCCACATGTAGTTGGGTTCGAACCATGAATGGAGAACATGGTTTTGAAGTCCTTGAGCAAGACACTTTACTACAATTGCCTCTCTCTACCCAGGAGTATAAATGGAAAGAAAATTGCAACCCCGCTTATTGGTCAAAATCTAGAGGCCAAGATGCGATTGTATTGCATAATTAATCAGCAAATCTGTTCAAAAATTATAGACCATGGCTTTCACCATGGTCTATTATATATAGACTAGTTGAAATGGGGTAATAATTTTCTTTTGTGAAGCACAGTTTGAGACCTATCGTCTTACCCGAGGGTACTGATGAACCCATTGACGCTTCCCTCGGCATACAGAGACACAATGTCTCCAAAGTGTAGAAAGCTTGCCGACATCTCGCTCATGTCTGCTCGACTTGCTTCGCAAAACTTAATGCCACATCAACGGTACCATTGTCAAGTTACTGTTAAAAAGGGAAAGTGATTAATAAGAAAGATTACAACCACAAAAAAATGACGAGTAGATTACATTTTCCTTTCCGATTCATGACTTTTTTCTTAAAAGGGAAGTAACGTTCAAGAACCATTCGGTTGTCAACTGACACATTCACGCATGGATGATTCATAATGCAATGATCAACTTCCATTAATTAAAACAGCAACAGCAAAACATGTAATAATATTAATAGTGTGTACCAATTTCCCACGAGTATTTTCGATATATTTTCAATCATAACCACAATGGGTGGTGGACTACCAAAAAAATTGATTTAAAATTTATCTATTTAATGTTGAGAAAAATATTTGAAAGAATTCCATACCTGGACATCACTTGACACCCTGTGCACAAACCCTACATGTATGTGACTGGTCTGAAAAACTCCAAGTGTTTTCTCAGTAAATGCTTCATTTTTTTCCCCTGCTAAATTTTAGGACATGCCATCGCTTTCTGATGGCTGATAGGTCACTGCAGGGAAAAATTAGTGATGTCCATAATGGCATTCTTTCCAAATTGTTAAAAGAATCTGCTTAATTAAATAGTAATACAGTCGTTTTCCTAGTTCCAGATAACAAACATCATTCAGGCTGCTTTCGGCTCAACTAATCCACGATCGAATTCAAGTGACATTGGTTAAAAAGTTTACCTGGAGTGATGGAGATACTCCAAAATATTTTTCCGAATTTATACTCTTTTCATTTTGACTTTGTGACGTCAAAAGTACCGATGCCATTTTTCCTAGTTCCGGATCGGTTTAATCAGTTCTGAATCAAGAAAATCAATTTTCTGCCAGAACCACCCCGAATCAAGCACATTTTCAGATAAATTATTCATTTTTTTCAAAAAACAGTTCATTCAAGAAGATTCCAGCAAATTTTAAAAAGAGAATGAACAGAAATGATTTTGAAACTTTTGTTTGCAGTGCGCAAGGGAACGAACACGCACGGACCGAAAACCTTTAACCCATCACAGAATACGTCACATAAAATCGATTACCGCGAGTGGAGTTTGGTTGTAAGTGCACGCGCGATCCGGAACTAGGCACAAACATACGGTCATTCATTGATGAATTTTCATATTAGAGCTTACTCTACAGCTTACTTTGATCATCAACAAACATTAGATGCAAGATTTTATCAACTGTAACATACGAACAAAATATTCAAAATCACACGGTCCGAGTAATGTACCAAGGAGAACATTTATCGTCGATTCGCAGCTCCCGTGATTTTCTACAAACCGTCCAAACATGTCAAAGTGCAAGTCGGAAATCTAGCCAACGTTCCATTTCTAGAGATTTTATCGAAAAGATCTTTGTGTATCAAGAAGCTTACATTTTCCTTTTCAAAATGCACTTCGTCTGAAAAAATAGTATTGGAGACCAATTCAAAAGGGGCATGTTTTTATTTGAAGCTATCCAGAACTAGGAAAAATCCGGAACTAGGAAAACACTGTACTATGTTGTGCTGCATTGTTATGTGGGACAGTCTGTGCAGCACAAAATCCCCATTCATTCCTCGTGTTCACAGACATAGACATAATGCAAACTGCCCCACAGTTCAACGGCAACGCATCGTATATCGTCAGTCCACCTAAAACGACGAGGATATGTTTTGACGCACTCGCATTCAATTTGCGTTGGACAACACGCGCGCGTTGCAAGCGTTATCTGCGTCAATTATGTCGACTCGAGGATACATTCTAAGACAAGATAAGTATGCGGTAGCACCATGTGAATAAATCTCTTTTGTGAGTAGGCCTATGTTAGCTCTACTAAGTGGAGCGTTGAACTATTGTCTAGGGTACCCTCCGTACGGAGGGTACCGTAGTTCAACGCTCCACTCAGTAGAGCTAGGCCTATGTGTGGTTCTGAAAAGAACCTGAGGATACAATGAAGATGGAAAGATTTCCATATACGAAGTTCACTAATTTTCCTCTGTATTGACTAACAAGCCCCCAGATAGCAATTTCATGTCATCAAAGTCAATTTGAGCAGTGAGAAAATACATGCATTTTCTTAGAAAACACTTCGAATTTTTCAGTCCAATCTCATAGGGTTTGTACACGGGGTGTTGAGTGAACTTCGTATATGGAAATCTTTCCATGAAGATACACAGTCATGACAGTTCTGATCTATCCGTAAAAAGAGTCCATTGAATATTCTAGTTCAACAACCTCAGCTGCTAGTGCTAGTGCTAGTGCTTCTTGCTAGCTTAGTCATGTTATTGTTAACAGTTAGTCCTCACAATTCCAAACACTCCTTCTCTTTAACTTAAGTATTTACAAACCACCTGACCACCTGGCACCTGCGAATAAGTAAAGCAGTCAAGCCTGGCCAGCTATTTCTGATATTTCGTACGCATAGCCATAGCATAGTTGTAACGTTTAAAGCTTACCGAATGTTGTTGCCTTGTGCGGAAATCCAAGCACTTATCCCGCTTACAAGAACGAAAACACAGTGTACTATCTGGATATGCGACACAAAAACATTAAAATCCCATAGAGATTGTGTACGTTCACGTTAAATCTGAACTGTCAACTACACATTGCATTTGCACACTGCTGCCGCGCCGGGCCTACCCGCTGATATACTGTATGGAAGGTACAGCAGTATTTCACAACCGCAATAACTGGAACTTATGATAATTTATGCTGTTGGGTCACTAGTTCAGGGGTCAGCGCGTCACTGGATATGAATTATGCAGTATCATGAGGAGCGCGCCTAGCCGGCCTCCACGCGTCGTGCATGAGTGATTGAGTTGCCGTGTCAGACTCGGAGGCGATAAGATGACTGGTTGGCCAAAAATCTTTGGAGACGACAGTGATCAATGATCATAAATGGTGATTGGCCAGATCAGACTAGCTCTGGTTTCTGTTCTTTCTCACTCTCCATGCTCTGAGAAAAAAATGGCCATACTGTATGTAATGTAACTTTTACACTAGAGCATATCTGTAGGAAATATCCATTCCTTTGAAATGTATAAAAAAAAAAATGCGAAATCCCTTTTTGGTAAAAACAAAAATTTTGCAAAGTGCACTTTTAAAAACATTAATAAACGTTTAAAATGTTTTTCATGTTTTTCCTGCTGACAACCGCCGCGAAGGCGCTGTTGCTGAGCCGAGGATCAGGAGCACACTCTTCATGTTAGGGTTTTCTCTTGAAATTATACGCCAATAAATCTGCTTATTGAAAACATTTGTGCATAAGTTTTTTTTTCATTGTCTTACTGTCATAGACTGAAACAACAATGAACAACTGAGAGCAGCTAGCTCCCGGTGACTAATATGCTGAAGCATGAAAATTAATTTTTTGCCTTGAATGAAATCACAATATTCACAGTATTGATAGCATGAATATGGAAATTCATTACTTTGCATAATAATGCGCGATTATCAATGATAATGGTAAAAACTTCACCTTCATCATTGTTCTAAGTGGCTCGAAGCAGCCTTTATCAAAAGTCGTCCAACGTACGCGAACCGAAACAAAAAGTGTATACTTTTCGTCCGCCAGCTAAAACCTCGATCCTTTTTAGGTAGCAAACGTGAGTAGATATTATTAAAACGTAAACTCTGCTTTTCTGTCATAGAATAAAATTGTAGGAAGGCAGTGACATCATGGTAAAGCATACAAATGGAACTTTCGAAAACGTTCGATCTGCTTTTCTGACAGCACAGAAAAGCAGTCTGGTCCACCCGTCTCTGTCAAACTTACATGTTGCATAATTCATATAAAACAGTGACGCAATATGACCTGCGCCCCGATCCGCCCATAATTATTATATGTTTCCGTTTAGTGGTTTTGATATTGCCGCTAAATGCGGAAGTGGCTCGGTCAACAATCTCTGCTATAATCCGCCATACAGCGGAAGGATATTCAACCAAAATTCACTCAAACATCATGTTACTTTTCTTCTATCACACTGTGAAAAAGAAAATAGTTTTGAAATATATTATAATGAAATTAAAGCTTTATAGAAATAAATGTTGACTATTGTGGCTTGTTTACTGACTAAAAAATACTTTGTTGGCTCTATTTCTTTTAGGGCCATATTTAAAGGACCTGCCGATGTTGACGAGCGTCCTCTTGCGGCTGAGTTTCAACAACTTTAACGAAACCCAGACTCAACAAGGTAATCATTTGCGAGAAGTGGTTTGGGTACCAGACCTTTAAGTTCAGAAGCAGACGACACTGCAGCAACCTCAACCAACATGGGGCTGCACGCAAATGAAAAAGGTCTAGCAAAATGTTTAGTTTTTATCACGATATGTACGCTACTTATCTCTGCCGATACAGATTCAAAAGTTTCTAGTGATTCCAAGAGTTGTGGTGCCGAAGAAGATGGGGAAAAATCCGGGAAAGACTGTGGTTGCTCTGCTCTCAATCGACAAAAAAATGAAGATGAAGACGTCGGCAGCGCCTCGAAGAAATACACTGCTGAGTTTAATAACGGAAATCAAGAAGAGAACGAGCAATCCGCAACGAATCAATTTGTTCGGACTAACCAAATGGCTTTTGTGAAAGGTGGAACATTTACCATGGGAACAGATGAGCCAGTCATTTATGCAGACGGTGAAAGTCCTGCCAGACTCGTTACTTTGACATCTTTTTATTTTGATGCGTACGAAACGAGTAATGCCGAGTTTGACTTGTTTGTGAGAAAGACGGGTTATGTTACAGAGGTAAACAATTGTTGGTAATCCTTACTTTTATGACCCCTTTCCTATATAAGGTTAAAAGACTCACCAAAACAGCTGACTAAATGACACTCAAAAGTGACATTCTGATATTAATTGACAATTTGAACATTTGGCAATGACACCTCTTGAATATCAGCAGGTTTGATTTTGTAGAAAGAGGGCAGGGTTTTGATTTATGAGGGGTTAAAGACGACGATGACAAACAGAAAATAAATTTAAAAAGCAAGATGGTGAACTGCAAAAAAAGGTAGGAAAGTCACATTTTCTTTGAAAGTACTTTCAAAATTATAACTAACATGAGTTTGTCTGAAGAAAAAGGACTTCTTTAGCCTGCAAAAGTCACTTTGGTACTGGACAGTCATCTGCAAAAGTCAGTTTTGAACAGAACTCGTACAAAATAGAGGTGTCCTAAAAGTAAGGATTACCCAATTGTTGATGGCATATTCAACAATCATGCACATTTTAATTATCGATTCAACTTTAAAGGGTTTCTCATCCTGAAATTGTGGTATTATGCATTTGCAGTGACTTTGTGTTACTAAACTTACTTATTGTCATTAATATGAGTACATTATTTTTTTGGAAATCAAAGTTGAAAGTAGAAGTTAAGTGAAGGCAAATTGTTCTTATTCCTCCATGATTGAATATATGTAGGCTACCATTTTTATGAAATCAAACAGTGGCATTTCGTTTTAAAAATTGTAACTGTTGCTAAATAGTGACAGTTCTAGTGCTTTTTTTTCCACACTCTTATTCTGCGACCCTTGCTGTATTTCCATCGCTGATCATACAGGTAATATGCATAGAAATCTTGCAAACAATAGATTTGTATTAATAATAGTCTGATAAATTGTGCAGATATGATGCAGGCAAATACATTTTTTTCATAATTTGGAAGATAATTATTTTAAATGTGGAAAGAGTTTCTTTGAGCGGGTTATTTTTGCAGTTGGATGCAATTCTCCAATAGTACAGCAAAATTTTTGTTTGAAGATTTACATTCATTATTTGTTCAATTACAGGCAGAACAATTTGGAGATTCTTTTGTGCTCGAGAGCAGAATTAGTGAAGAAGTGAAGAAGGACATCAGTCAGGCTGTGAGTTGAACTTGGGATAAAGTCTTATGATAGGGAAGTAGTGTCGTATTAAAGTCTGGTCGTAAGGAAATCACAAGTCCAGTCACAAGTTACAGAAATGAACCACAACAAAGGCATGCCTTATTTGCCTTTGTCACAGTTCATTTGAATAGCTTGTGACTTAACTTAGGACTGGATGACTTGTGATGACTTGACTAGTCTGAAAATTTGGGACTCTCAATACTGTGTATGAGAGTCCCAAAACCTAAGGTATTGAAAACATGCAATGCAAGAAAATAGACTGGCACATGAAACAACCAGTCCAACAACTCTTCAGTACTGCATCAATCAACTGTGCGAAAAGAAAGCAACTGGCACGTCTGGTTTCTATACATTTCTCCATAGTCAGCCACCAGACTAATGACAATGAATGAGGAGGTCAATCTTTTCAAACAGTTGGACGATGGTTGGACATGTACCAGTCTAGTCTTTAGTCTTTAGGGGGAGAGAGGGTTATTATTTCCAGCAAAGCATGGTGCATAGAAACATTTGAGATTTCATATTTTATTTTTTTGACAACAGATCTAGACATTTGGTTGAATAGTTTGTATTCATTTTAGGTTGCCGCTGCTCCGTGGTGGTTACCAGTGAAAGGTGCTGACTGGCGGCATCCGGAAGGACCAGACACCGACATAAATGACAGGTACATCCAGCGATATATGGAGGTCTCTTGGGGAATAATGAGACTGTGGGGTGATGCAACCATGGAACTATTCTTTTGTAATGGCTCTGATATGCTCCGACTGAAGCATTATCCCAACTACTGTTTGCATCGTTCCAACTACTGTTGGCATCGTCCCAACTACTGTTGGCATCGTCCCAACTACTGTTGGCATCGTCCCAACTACTGTTGGCATCGTCCCAACTACTGTTGGCATCGTCCCAACTACAGTTGGCATCGTCCCAACTACTGTTGGCATCGTCCCAACTACAGTTTGCATCGTTCCAACTACTGTTGGTATCGTTCCAACTACTGTTGGCATCGTCCCAACTACAGTTGGGATCGTCCCAACTACAGTTGGGTCCATTGCTATAGTTGGGGCTAATTAACAGCTTCATGCAGGAACCAAGCTTTGGTTTGTGGGTTGATATTAATGAAACATATATAAAGGATCATTAGTATCTTACAAATAACGATAGTTTCTGCATACCTGTACCACATTATATGTGGGCGCCGACATCCGGGATTTTTTTTCATTAGCTTATCTAGCTCCCAGACCTATGTTCTTGAAACTCAATGGTTCTTGAGTCTGGAGTGCTGAATGGTAACACATAGCAACCAATGAAAACTGGTGTGCAAATGAATAGATGTTTTCATCGGATGACGTCAGCCCGCCCCCTATATTCCCTGATAAATCCATATAACAATACAGTGCTTGGGCAGGGTGGTGCTACCTGCAGGTGGTAACAGGCAGGGCTGTTCGGGGCGGTGAGTGGTCACCAAGAGCTGTTTATGCATGGCGTCCTGTGTAAGCGTTGAGCTGAGTTAGTGCTTTCTGTCCTTGCTCCCCTATACTTGGCATACACAGAATGGACCACCCTGTCATCCACATCTCCTGGAATGATGCCAGCGAGTTTTGCCGCTGGGCCGGGAAGAGGTTACCTACGGAGGCTGAATGGGAGTATGCTGCTAGGGGAGGACTCAAGGGAAGGTAGGCAGTGGCGCACCCAAGGGGGGGGGGGGACACCTCGGGGGGCTTGAGCCCCCCCCCCCCCCCAAGAGGATGTCAATTTTTTTTTTAGTCCCACAATTTGGCCTTGGTGATATGTATGTGGCCTATTTTCGAGTAGTATAATAGGGGTGTAAGTGGTGCCACCACTTTCTGCGGCCAAAAATTTGGGCAAAATTTTTTGAACAAATTTTAACTTCTAAAATAAATTGTGAGCCCCCCCCCCCAAAAGCCAAATCCTCGGTGCGCCACTGAAGGTAGGCTTGATGTAATCATTCACCCAAACCCTCCTGAATCCTTCAAAAGCCACCAATCATTTGCAGGATTCGGGAGGGAAAAATCCAGCCACTAAATGACTGCTACTGCATGAGGAACTATGCTCCCTGAAAGTTACGGTACAACGAATGTATAATTTGGTTTCCTGCACAGTGTATTATTTTAGAGACTTCGGTATTGCATCTCATCTTACAAAATGCCTAGGAAGGAAGGAAACCCTAGCTTTCCCATGACTTTCTGAATCACTGCTATACGGTTTTGCGGTAGATTGAATTTCACTTCAGACTTGTACAGTGCCTGATTTGATTTGTTTCTTGATTTGACTTAAATCTTGTCCCCAGACTCCACCCATGGGGTAACAAAGAACTGCCTAAAGGGGAGCACCGGATGAACATATGGCAGGGGGAGTTTCCTATCACCAACACGGCTGAAGATGGCTACGAAGGCACATGTCCAGTGAGAACTATTGTCATTGTCATTGTCACAGTCATTGTCCTTGTCCTGGGCATTGACATTGACATTGGTCTTGTCATTGTCTAGTCCGAGTATCACCCGTTGTTCAAAGTCTGATATATCTAAGCATGCAAATTTATGCTGACTTGGGGTGTAGCACGGCGCAAAGCTGTGCCAATTGTCCCTTATTTATTACTGGGGTCAGTGTCCTGAACACTTGTGTTTGACAAAAGAGAAATACAGGATGATGCTCGACGAAGGGTAGGGTTCAAGTTAATAAAAGGTACATTTACTTACTGATGATGGCAAACTCTTGGCAGGTTACGGCCTTTGCGCCGAATGGTTACGGACTCTACAACACAGTTGGTAATGTGTGGGAATGGACATCAGACTGGTGGACGAACAGACACAGTGCGGAACCACAGGAAAACCCAGTGAGTTAGCACAATTTGTGTAAATCAACCGATCTTTGTTTTTTTACGCAATCGCTTACTTAAAGATATACATAGTTGGGATGCTTTCAAAATGGTGTAAAAAATCCAACATGGAACAGTTGATGAAAAAAAAATTCAAAAACTTTGGTTATATGCAGGATACTTGTAATTTGTGACTTTTGATCATCAGATGTACTGAGAGTTATTAAACTTTGGCCCTCACAATGCCAGTCCACTATTTTTTCTTTCTCTTTAATTTTCAGAAAGGTCCCGATAATGGCACGGACAAAGTGAAGAAAGGTGGTTCCTACATGTGTCACAAGGTGGGCAACCTCTTCCTTAACCCTCACCCTTGAACACTTTTACTAGAAAGTATCCTGAATCTGCCAAAATCCATCTATTGTGTCATGCACAAACATTTTGGTGTTGGTGACTGCTCTGAATATGGAGGCATCCTGAATCCATCAAAATCCTGCAGTACCGCTAGGCTTACTATCCTGAATCCATGAAATCCCCGTTTTCAACATGGAGGTATCCTGAATCCGCCAAAATACTCCAAAACAGGGGTATTGATTTTGATGGATTCAGGTACGTTAGGGTAAATGCACTCTACTGTGTCATTTACATGTAGGGAGTAGACATCACGCTTTGATATATACAAATAATGAATATTTATGAGTGCAATGGCAAGAATAATTTCATGAGGTGACAGATGGAATGTTCCATTCCACAAGGCCAACATTCATCATTTGTTTTATACAACACTGAATAAATCCTCGTCATCTCATATGTCAGAGCCACCAATCGTGTGACCGTGCACTGGAACTTCTATTTACCGTGAAAAATAAAGGTCTTTTGTGGTGCGGCCGGGCCGTGGGTTAGGACGAGTAATTCAATGACATGTGATCAATGACCCACCAATCAGATGACGGGGATTTATTCAGGCATTGTATACAAACACATGTTTTCCTTTCTGTATTTCTATTTTTCCTTTCTTTTTTTTTATTCTAGTCCTACTGCTACCGATACCGCTGTGCAGCAAGAAGCCAGAATAGCGTAGACAGTTCAGCAGCAAACCTTGGATTTAGATGTGCGGCTGATAAACTGCCAGAGGGTGTGGAGTGCACAAACTGTTGAATTGCCAGGGGGGTACGTTCAACATTAAAAAAGTGCCTTCTGGAATCAAGTACTTTTCAGGCTTGTAGAAACAATAGCCTTAAACAAAGTTTTAAAGCAACAGTCTGATAATGTTAAACAGCTTAGCAAAAATTAAAAGTGCTAAGCAAAATCTTGTGATAATTAATTTCAAACCAGTTGCAAGAATGATGCATAACACAACATCATAACTTGTAGGTAATATTTTGTTGAAATCATTTCTGTGGAAATCATTTCTGTGCCCATTGATTACATTTTTGTGTGTTTTGCCAGGAAGTGAAATCAAGTTGTTCGCAACTGACATGTGACATCAATTGGAAATTATCATGGCAGTCTAACATATTGGAAAAATCAGTCAGTGTTTTTCTAAAGGCTTTAGCATGAAATGCAAACCATGTTTAGTCCTAAACCTCCTAAATCCTTCAAAAGTCGCCAGGTTTTGAGATTTGGGAGGATTTTGGGATTTGTAGGATGTGGGGGGATTTTGTAGGATTTGGGGTGGATTTAGTCCTAAACCTCCTAAATCCTTCAAAAGTCGCCAGGTTTTGAGATTTGGGAGGATTTGGGGATTTTGTAGGATATGGGGGGATTTTGTACGATATGGGGGGATTTTGTAGTTTGGGGGGGATTTTGTAGGATTTGGGGTGGATTTTATAGGATCTGGGAAGGTAGAGTGCCCAGCTTCGGTTACTTTACACTGGGCTTTACACTGAGTGATTTACTAGGAACCTTCCTCACTCTTGCAAACTCCAACACCGCATGGTAAACTGTACTCAGAAACTGTTGGACTCTGATTATTGGTGGTATGCCTAACCAAGCATAATCAGATTACTAGTGTCAACTGTCAAGCATAATCAGTTTACTAGTGCAGTACTCTAACAGATTCAAACAAGCCCTGGTGTTGGTGTTTGACTGGATTGGGATTGTGAGGGTTAATTTAAAGAATGTATCGCTGGTTTTCTGAAAAGTGGTTGATTTTGAAAGGTTCAGAAAAGCCCAAGCAAATATGCCTGAATAGGTTTTTTTTTTAAATAAAATGAAGCAAAAAGTGAGATTGGTATTTAAAGTATTATTAGGCATTCTTTACTATGGTACACTGCAGGATGAACCTGGGGAAAAAAAACCTTTATACACTTTAGAAAAAAACCTTACAAGGCAAATGTATTATACACACACATAAATAATAATAATAATAATAAACAATCATCATCGACTGTAAACATAGGAACCTGGTTTGCGTCTCGTATCTCAAAAAACTATCTATAAAATCATCTCCACAATTATTACACTTTGAAAATTGAAACACAAAAATTAAAATTTACGACTATAAAGTACAATACACTGATAATCCTTTCATTTAAAAAAAGACATGGAACATTTTCATAGGTCAAAAACTTGAAAGTATACTTTAGTGTCGATTGGTGCATTTCAGCACCCCCTCCCCTTGTAATCTGTGTTTTGGAACTTCAAGATGCTCGGTGATTTTGCTTTAAACAGAAACCATACTGAGGGTTTGTTTTATTGGTTTTGCAGGTAAAATCTAAAAACTTAACATGATTTACTTTTTAAATTCTTAATCCATGTGCAATTCATTTAAACTTAAATGTAACAATCAATGGGACTGTACATTTTGTTTTTTTAAATGCAAGTTTTTTTAAAAATCCTTCAGAATCAGGATCCAAGTGTCTTTTTTGCTCTTGTTCAACAAAAACCTTGTTTTATTCCCGAATTTACGTAATATTACAAAAGTGACTTCACTGTTAGTTTAATCACAGACCATTTACAATGGTCCGTGGTTTAATGGCAGTAAACTCTGTTACCTTTTTTCGCATAAACTCAGAAGTTGTCCCCATATTTTAGTCATGCCGAACATAACTGCAAGATCATCTTTTTCCCCCAGTACTTTATCATTTCTGATTACATTCCACGAAATCTTCAATAAATTTGATTGGTATCCAAAAACATGAACTTTAGTTCTTTCCACGCAGTAGTTTTCCTCTTAGTTTTTTTCTCTCCACTTTTAGTAATTATTTCCCTTTTCTCAAGTGGGTGACAAGAGACAGAGTTTAACTAAGAATCAAATCAATACCATCAGTGTGGTCCCCCTTTTTTTTTTTTAGTGATGTTTGACATCAATAAAAGTCCAGTGTGTAATCTCTGTGACAATTGTCAACAGGAGCCTGCTGTTGAAAGTTGGTCTGTTGCATCGTGTATTGTTGTATTGGAAAAAGTGAGGAGATAATGTGACCCGTCGCCACAGATTAGCTGAAAGTCAGAAATTGCCATTTTACAGTAGTACATTGGGGCAAAGCCAAAATTTGAAGGGGTTTTGTTGATTGTTTGTTTCCAGGTGAACCTTAATCTGAAAGTCCTGTGCTCCAATTTTTTTTCATTCAAACATCTTTGAAACCTATTTTCAGCCCGTTTTGTTAGTTGACTGTGCATTCACTGTAACACAACTGCAGGATTTTTCAATGCCATTTTCTCGAGAATCAGCTTTACAACTTCAAGTATTCGGTGGTCTGTATTTCCGTTACTAAACTCAGTATCCTTGGCCCAATTTCACGGCGCTGCTTAACAATAACAGTCAGCAGAAAAGTTGTGCTTTGCATAGCAGAAAAATATGCTTACCTTAAGCACTATTTCACGGCGTGGACGTGTTAACGGTCGCGCGTGCATGGAGATTTCTATTGTTACGTCACTAAGTTAAGCAAATTTTTCCTCTGAAGTAAGCATGCCTTTTGCTGTGCTTATGCTTACAGTCTCCATGAAATAGACAGAGCCTCTGTTAGCAGAATCGTGTGCTTAGCAGCGCCGTGAAATTGGGCGCTGCAATGTTCTGCAGAATCTAAATAAATAAATATCTCAATTCTTAAAAAGTCAAACTTAAAGCTCATTTTGTGATGACAAGTCACATTTTTGATTCTCCAATTTGCAAAGTAACTCCTCATTCCATTTTCTTCCCGACTCCCGAAAAACCCATCTATTTCCTGCTACAACCAATTAATTAAGATTTTTTGCAGGTGTAATTATAAAACCAAAACATCACTTAGCAAACTAATGCGCTTAGCCAAAATCAAGTTGGAACTGATCACAAGCAATTATACATTGCAGTGCACTTTTGGTTGGTAACCTTTCATAGCTGAGCAAATCTGTTGTGTGATTGGGAAATTCTGTGCTTACCAGATCCATGTAATTGGCTCCGGAACAAATTTGTTAAAAATCCCTTGCTGGTCAACACTGTAGCCCTTGTTTAATAGGGGTGTGCATTTACGGTAAGTACAGGAATGGGGTACCCGATTGAAGAAAAAAAAACACGGTTGTCCTGGTACCTGTTACAGAAACCCAAACCCAAAATTCGCATCTTGGAAGTTGCTGTTCGTATTGTTCATAAAGGTTCGCACTGTAATGCTACCACATCGGTGCGTCAATACAGCAAGAAACAAGCGTGTACAGTGAGATTTATAGCTTTACAGTGCAAGCTGCAACTTTCAGGAGGATCATTAACTTGAAATTTGTTTTGTTTTTCCCCATGAAGCCTCGTATTCATTTTGAAAATTCCCCACAAATGACATTCAATACCTTTCTTTTACATTGTCTGAGAAGTTACTAAGTAATTTGTAAAGTTGGTTAAGGGTACCCAATCCCCCTAATCTGGAACCAGATCCAGACATCGGCGGTTGAGTAATCGGGTACCAGTTCCAATGCACAGCCCGATTGTTTAAGCAACACAGGCGAGCTATACTTCTCTAATTTTAAAACGATGCCCCAGTTTCTGCCAAGCTCAATATTGGTTTGGACAATCAAACTCAAGCCTCGTTAATCAGGAAGAATAAACAAGGATTGAAACAGACAAGTACAACTTATTAAAAAGAGCAGGGATTTACAACTTCAGAACAGTCTACCGCCAAATACACTACCAACAAATTTGAAAGATTTGCCTCTTTATCAACATTTTCATACATGGTTCAAGGTTTTTTTTACCCCACCAAAAACACAAAAGTGGTCCTTTTTCTTCTCTCACGTTCGGGCATGCAACTGGGAATTTAGAAGAAAAAAAAACGAGGCAACTCCAAACCAAACTAGAGTTTGTACAGTGTTTTTCAATTAGTAATGGCATTCATGAGAAGTAAAAAACCGAGGAAATCAGCGGATCCGAGGAAAAGTTGCATGCCTGCACGATGACTGAATAACAGCCATTTAGTAATTGCCAGATTTTGGGGATATATTCTGTACATGTATGTTAACCACAATGTGTGGCCACTCATTAACACTTAAACCATGCACGCTCATATCTGAATTTCCAATAGTCATACGACACCTACTACTGCCCGTAAAATAAATACCAATTCATTAAACCTCTGGATTATTTTTTTTTTGGTTGAAACTGTACAATTATGTTAGTAAAGGCATACACAGGTTAATTGTAGCACATGTTTTTGTTTGTTTTAAGTTTCTAAATACTGAACCGGCAGTATATATGCAATAAATCTTTGTACACATGTATCATAAGCAAATGCAATTGAGTTCATGAAAAAATTCTAACCACTTTTTTTTTTCTTCTTCTTAAAAATTCCACTCCATATCTGAAGTCGCCATCATGACCGGAGGAATTTTATAGTCAATTTGGTGGGGCCAGCCCACAATTCGTCCAATTTCTTTGTAATTTCATATCACTTCATTTAGACTGAAATTGCTCCTTAAAATTCATTTACAACTTTAACAATTAAAAAAAAAATTATGTTTATAAAACATCCACTAATAAATTACAACTTGACGTTCTCCCGTAGCACACCGGTAAAAAGAAACAAATTCCTCTCAAAAAAATTACACCTATCCTTTTGAAAAAAAATTATAATGTACAATAATTTAAAACATTTAAAATGAGTATTGGCCGTTGTTCCAACTGATTGCCACATTTTACCAAATGATTAAAAAAAGCCAAAAGTTGTCTAGACAGGCAACATGTTAATATCAAAGTGACATGAAGTGGATGTTCAATCAATTTTGTCGCAGCCCAACACCTGTTCGGTAGCTTCAAACACTGCACCATTTCGGCTCAGGCCAGGGACGCGACAGGCAAAGTATGGACCTATCCAACACACTATAACCGAGCATTCACGTAGGCCTCCTTCAAGGGCAAAAGCATTGTGCGTGCAATTGTACAAAGCCACGGCCCCACGACGGAATCTCTAAACAATATCTGGCACGCTGCTTTTCACCATTGAAGGGGCCCTACGTGAGTGTCAGAGCGACTGAGTGGTCGATGGAGTAGTTGGAAACAGAGACTGGATTAGCTTTGTATACACAATAATGTTTTTTTTTCTCTACACAATGGAAAACAAAGTAATGCATCAATGTTCTCAGATGCTGAAATTCGGTTTCCTGGCAAAAAGAAATCAGAAACGGACTGCAAGAAACATCCAGCGATCTCTGTCTGTTCAGCAACCAACTAAACTCCCGTTAGTGTGTGTTATCCGCCGACGAGCAGCAGGTGTGTCCTGAAGAACTCCACTTATGGCGCTTTTCGACTGCTTACGAGAGCTCCTTGGGAGAGAGAGTACGCACGAATAATGTCTGATTTAAATGTGCGCTAACGTCTAGCATTCTCACTTGAGCGGTAAGGGTAGGTGTAGGGCCCCAGTGTCTCTCCTGTGGTGATATCAGTGGTCCCTCCATACTCTCTCTTGGTCATCAGTGAGGGGGTACTTGTGCACGGAGACTACACTCCCCCTGAAGTACAAACATTTAATTTGACTCGCTATTGTCAAAAACCACCAACTCGTCTGTTTCATCTCCGCAGCCACGTTCTGTAGCGAGGCACAGTCGTTTAACTCAATTATGCCAAGGAATTTTCTCCAAGAGTTCAACTGTCTTTTCTAGTTTTATTTTTATACATGCATCCAAGGCAGTTTTTTTTTTGCACGGTGTCATTAAAAACTTTGGACAAAATGCATAAAAAAAAGATAAATCCTGTCCAACGGTAAGAATTTGCCGCAGATGTTTTTAAGTACCGGTAGTGCCACCCGCACTTTGCACCTCCAGACCTTCACCACAGATCTCAGTAATCAGTCAATCTGTGTTCTCTTTTTAACATAACGTGATTGCCTTCTGTGGTCACCCATCCTGTGTTATTCAAACGGCACTTGATTCGTTGTCGCTCCCCAAATCAGCGATTCAAAACTGAAGTACGTTCACTCGAACCACAAGACATTTCGTCATCTTGCAACAGCGACATAACGATCCAACTCGGCGCGAATTCAAATCTGTGACGTCACCATCAAGTTTTTCATGCTAGGAGTCCGCAAACCTGGAAGGCATTTCAACTCCGGCGAAAGTCACTACAATTTTTTCACGACTTCAAATCTGCTGCACATTCGCAAGACGTACAACTGTGAATTGCCTGTAGACCAAGTCCCACACGCAACGTCTGGAGGTTAACACAAAGTCTCGGCAATATTTCTGGTCTCTTTTTTTGTTTTGTTTTGTTAACACCTATAGCCCTCCTGTTCCGGTGAAGAAGGGGAATGCACCAAACTGGCTGTTGATGGGAGTCTTCGGGGAGGGGCAGTACATGAAGTCGTCGGTCTGGAAGCGGGCCCGGTTCATGGAGGGCTCCGAGTGACTGCGATGCACTTTGGGAAGGAGACGGGCTAAGCCTTCTAATGAGGCCAAGATCTTTTTTGGGGGGGGGGGAAGAGAGAAAGAAAAACATATTATAAAAGGGCCACTTCATTTTTATTTTGGAGGGGGAAGTCTTTGGCTTGGCCAAAACTCAATAAATATTTTTCCGATATGAATTTTTTTTTGTTTTTTTAAAGCAAATGAACTATTCTTGTCAAATATGGTATCAATAGTTGCGATGTATTTTTTTGTTTTTAAGTATTTCTTTTTTAAAAGCTGTGAAAAAGAAGGCGCTTTGAGGGTTCAGCTTTTTTTGGGACACTGTGTAGTGTGTGTGTGAGAGAGATTCTACCATATTTCTGCTGTGCTCTGCGATATTATTTGGCGTGTTTTTCAACACCAACAACATCCTGTGTTAGGTTATCCCTCCGACGCAGAAAGCCCTTTTACTAACACACTTACAGTAAGAGGTCCCCCGGGGACCCAAATATTTAGCGCCACGGTTTGAGGCTACACAACACTGTATCCACATGAACACAATTTTGCCATGTCTGTGGACTAAGGAGGTGTATTGTATACATAGTCTGTGGTCAAGCCGTGCACTGTCTACCCGCAAGTGACCTTGTTTGTGCACGTGTATATGGTGGGTCCCCGGGTGGGCAGAAATTGCGTCGGAGTTGTTTTGTGCGCGTGTATATGGTGGGTCCCAGGATGGGCAGAAATTGCATCGGTCCTTAGCCCAGGTTGTTAGGCTCAGATATGCCTGACCCGGGGTCACACACTAAAGGTGACTGCATATATCCGTAGGGGGTGTCTCTGGCTAGGATTAGATGGAAGATCACCAGAATTGGTTTGAAATTTGTTTTTAAATTAAGGTAATTAACCAAATTGGGTCCCCAAAAGGACTAGTTTCTGCGTCGGAGGGTTAAAAGGTCCATAGCAGAGCAACCTCAAAAGATTGTGAGGGAGCATGATACGGTAAAGTTTACGCAAAGAAGGGCTTTCTGCAGGCCGAAATTAAACAAGTGCGGATGCACGGTAGAATAATCACTCACGGTACTTTTACAAAATTAGGTCAAATGCAAAGGCGGCCTACGTCTGAGACGAGACGAAAGTTTTCAAAACCCTTCCTAATCTGAAAGAGAATTGAGGCAGTGATTGGACTGTTGTCTTTTTTTTTTACCTGTGGGAATAGTGGTCTCTCATCTCTGTTCATCTTACAGCAATCTACGATAAGTCTCTTCAGCGCTTTGGGCGTGTCGTTCCTTGCCTTGCTTGGTTCCGGTGACAGGTAGCCACGCCCGACCATCCAGATAATCTGAATAAGAAAGAAAAGGGGGGAAGAACAAAAAAGTGGTTTTAACATGAACTGCAGTTAATACATTCATCCATTCAATCATGACTTGTATTAGTGTCATAGCCTCTCGTGTCTATGTTAATTTGAAATCTGCTTGGTATTCTGATCTGTAGAACAGTCCAAAAATATCAAACTTGATTCATTGATCCTGCAGCCTTCTTACTAATTTCTTAGAGTTGTGGAATCATCAGTGCATTGAAGCCACACTAAGTTTCAATAACAACTTTAAAAACTCTTTGATTTTTTTTTGCTAGTGTTAAAGCTAAACCCACACATCGGATTGTTTTGCACTGTTTATACAGTGAATTTATACATGAATCACACATTAATTAATTTTTTTTAATTGTTTTTTCAATCCAAGTTGACATTCTTTGCTGATTTCACACCAATTAGAAAAGTCTGACAAAACTCTGGAGTTTTTGAAGCCGTGACTGCAAATTTAAAAATATTTTGAAAAAATCTCTGGTCAGTGTGTGCACCTAGCTTACATCACCGCATAAATATGTTCAAACAAAAAGCTGTAGTATGCTCTGCAGTTTGCCCACGGATTTCCCAGCGTGCCCGGGATACCAACCTGGTCCTTGTTGTTGATGTTGGAGTAAGGCAACTGACCGGAGACCAGCTCAAACAGCACCACTCCGAAGGCGTAGACGTCCGACTGGAAGGAGTAAGGGTTGGGATCTCTCATTCTGATAACCTCTGGGGCCTAAAAAACAAACAGCAATGACAAACAAATGAATGCATTGAAACATAACCCAGTTTCCATACCAATCATTGGACCAATCTCCCAACAACAAGTCATCTATTAAATCTCGGGTCAAGTGACAAGCTCTTGATATGATCTGTGGCAAAGGCATTCCTCTCGCATTGTTTATGTCCTCTCTTACATGTGGGCCATCTTGTGATTACTTTTGTGATTTGAAAGGTAATGCCATGGTGCATCCAGGCAGGGGGGGGGGGGGGTTGAAGCACCACCAACATACCCCAAATTTAACCAGATTAGCCCCCCTCCCCCACCTCCCTCCCCCCATGACTTCCAAAATTGTGGTTCGGCTCCTGTGATACCTTGTTAATTGGAGTTTCCTGTTAAAGATCAATCAGTGACCTGAACCGAAAAATATATTAAAAAAACACCTCTTTGTGTCTACTTCATGACCACTCAAGAGCTGTGCGTAGGACACACTCAACGAACACACAAATATGAGCATATACAGTGCACAGTAGTCACAATTAATTTTCATCTGAAAGTGCACAAGCCCATAGAATGACTTTGCGCAAGGCATATGATGAAAATGCATTTAACTATCTCTGTGCACAGAGTCCACACTGTATTATTGATAATAATGTGCTTATATAGTGCTTTATACCAACAATCTCAAAGCACTTCACAATTATTACCCCTGTTCATCAGGCCATGAGACCAGTTTTTGCAGCAGCTCGAGATCAGCGCATTCTTGTCTCTACCTTCACAGGTACCCATTTACACTCCTGGGTGGAGAGAGGCAATTGTAGTAAAGTGTCTTGCCCAAGGGCACAAGCACCGTGTTACTTGTCAGGGCTCCAACCCACACACGTGAGTCGAACACCGTAACCATTGGACCACAGCGCTCCCGATTCCTCCCCTTCTCCTCCACCTTCCCCCGCCCCTTCTCCTCCACCTTCCCCCGCCCCTTCCCCGCCCCTTCCCCCGCCCCTCCCCCCGCCCCCTTTTTCTTACCATCCACAGGATAGAGCCAGTGGGTTGTTCACAGAGCTGAGAACCACTCCATCTTGATTTGACCGTGGCCAGACCAAAATCTCCAATCTTCACCGTCAGATCATCGTGCAAGAAAATGTCTGGGTGGCACGGTCAAGGAATTTTTTCAAATTATTAATTTTGTTACTGCTGAGGTAGTAATGCATGCAAGTAGTCCATTCCAAATCGCAATTTGTTCACTTTCTTGCTACTTTGGACATAAACTGTCCAGTTTGTAGGTGTGACATCATTTTCAACTTAATGGAATAGTCCATCATTTGTAATTTGTGCATTTTGTTTGTTTGAAGCAACAAAAGTGCTCAATATCTGAAGAAGGATGCTGAACAACCAATCTCATGAAGTTTCAGCTTAGCTTCAGCTGCATTTTTCGAGAAAAACAACATTGTAGGATCTCGATTTCAAATCAAAAGTTGCTGAATCATGTTTTGAATTGGGCATAAATCCAGCGTCTGAGACACGTTCTCACTTGCCGATTGCAGCTATGCGATGTCGCGCACTGATCCGACGAATTATAGCAACCGTGCGCAGGTGTGCGTCGTGCCAATAGGGCACGCGCTTCGCCGATTAACAAAACGAACTACTAATTTAAATTTCCTCAAGGTGCTTCTTAAGAAGCACCGTTGGAAAGGCTTTCTTTCGTTGATTTCTTCAAAATGACAGCTTGCCAGAAAGAATAATTCCACAGGAAGTTTAGTCCCGTTACTATCTTTCAACCAAGTATGTTTTGCAACAATAATTACGCCAGTCACTTTTTGGACAGCTGCAAATGATGGACTCTGGTTTTAACCACGTGCCACTGCACACTGAGTAGCACTGTAACCATTGGAACTGGGAGTAGTGCACGTGCGCATGTATAACGCAGTCACTTTGAACCAGATTAAGTACCCTCATAAACAACTGAACTTGTCTTTAGCAATCAGGGTATAGATCATTTCCAAAGGATACTATTTGACTTCATATCTCGATGGATGATGTTCTTGGCGTGAAGGTAACTGCAACAAAGACGAAAAGTGGGGTCAAGTTAGTACCACAAAATGAATCAGTGCCGCAAAATGATTCTACCGCAAACTTTTAAATGGAAACAGGTGCTTTTCTACTGAAATCTCAATGAGTATACAGTCGACTCTCATTAGTACAAACTCTGTTAATACAAAATTCTGGTTATAACAAACATAAAGCCTTGGTCCCGACTGTGCATTTATGTGCACAATGAATGGGACTGATGTTCCTCTCAATACAAAATTCTGATATAACAAACAATTTGGCGAGTTTGTTATAACGAGATTCGACTGTAATTTGAATGACCTGAAGTAGTAATTGACCTATCGCCATTTGCGAGTTAGCCACGCCCCTAGACAACCCTATGGAATTTGTGTACACTAAGTTTTGTTTGTCTCAGATGTTGCGCGTTCCGCGTCCATTTGTATATAATTGGACAATATTTCACAAGCTGCGTTGACGCGATTCTACCACGATAGGTCAATTCACTTGTTCCTAGATCTTAAGGGCAAGCGTACTGTCTTCTGACTGACCCAGTCACTGACTGAATAAATGTGTCATTGAGTAGAAACAATGTCCTAAGCTAAGAATTTCGTTTGCACCTTGATGAGGCACGCCTAGTCTTTCATGCAAGGTCTTACCCTTCAAGATGAGCAATTAACACCCTGTAATAAAATTGACATCGGCCTTGGTTTCCAGCAAAGGTGAGAAACAATTTCATCACACTGTATGACAAAATTTGGAGACCCTGAAACTATCAAAATCTGTACAGGGGTTGCCATTGGGCAATTCCAACTTGGGCAAATTCCAACTTGGGCAATTCCAATGTAAAGTGCATGACAGAGCTTTTCAGAGCTCAATGAATAAACCTGAAAATGTAATTTTTGAATATTACACATCCATCATCTAGTAGTGGTCAAAGAGATTACAAACTAGGAGTTTTGGATCATTTCTCAGAATCATTCATTTGATATCACGATTAATTTGCTCCGTCGTGGACACTAAACTTCATTTCATAATGATGGAATTGCCTAATAACAAAAGAACAGGCTTTAAAAACGGATGTATGAGAATATGTGCAGAGTGCAATGAGGTTTTTTTTGGGGGGGGGGTGTAAGAGTGTTTCAGCCTCTCCAGACTTACTCCATGCCTTGCGCCGTCTGCCGGGCGATATTGATCAGGTTGTACATCTCAAACTTGGTCTCCTGGACGTGCAGGTGCTTGTAGAGGCTGGAGCCCTCGCACCACTGGGTCACGATGGACAGCTGGGGCTTGGAGGTGCAGCCCATGAACAGGAGGATGTTGGCGTGCCGGGTCTTACGCAGGACGGCCACCTCGTTCTTGAAGGCCTGGAGTTGGGAGGCCGTGGGGTCCGTCACGTTCAACCGCTTGACGGCTACGGGACCTGGGCAGTTTGGGATAGAGAATAATATTTAGTGCACATAGCCACCAGTGCTCAAGGCACTACATCTTTATTACCCCTGCTCACTGCACTCATATAAATTCTATTCTCATTTCATAAAAAGACTATCTCAGTTTCCTATGGGATATACAGCTCGTTGCTACCATAAGGGTGCAAAGCAGCTAATATCAACCACAATCCACCATCTCTGCGTTGTGACAAAGCCTCTTGCCCAAGGACACACGCACCACAGCCCCAGGCTGGACTCGAACCCTCAATCTGCAGAATTATACATAGATCTTTAGTTTTATCATCCAGAACACAAGGCCACAGCACTCCACAGTGATGAAAAATCTTCAGAACTAAATATATTTTGAAAAGGGTCTTCGGAACTCAAGAAAGTAAGGTTCCTAGCTCATCCAGCCAGACGTAAGGCCATGTGACTAACTCTGTGAGCGGTCCGCAGCTGTACAATTACATGCAGGTGCACTTTATACTCACCATGCCAGTGGCCCTTGAAGACCGTTCCAAACGATCCCGATCCTATCCGTGGACCCATCAGAATCTCATCAGTAGGGATCTCCCAGTCATCGTTAGAATCCCGTCTTTGCCTCTGTGGGATGTCCACCAGAGAAAAAGCATTCACATCCAAAAATTTCATATCATAATTGCACCATTTCAGAGTGACACCAAACCAAAAAGAAAGTTGGAGCGACTCAAGTTGAGCCAAATAAAATTTGGTTCCAGAATGGGGAACTATGTATCAATTTTTCATTGACTGGAACCTGGAGATATTCTGAATGACGGCAGCAGTCAATCTTTCTGGAGTAGTCGATCTTAATTGTTTCAAATGTCAAAGTGAATTCTAATCCTCAGAATAACACAACACAACACAAGGCTGAAATGAGTGTTACATTCCTCGCTACACTACACACGAAGTAATTTATCATTACAAATATGGTCCACAAAATATTCAGCTCCAGTTGTTGTTGTTGTTGTTGTGCACTCATGCTGAGGTTCCTTTCTCTCAAAGTGGCAAAAGGCACCAATTGTGTGCTCTGAGAATTGTGCACAATTCAATCGAAAATGGTGTACACTGTGTGGTATTGGAAAGTTCCTGAACTGGTGGGGTTTTTTTTTGGGGGGGGGGGAGGGGTTGTAACCGTTTGACAGAACAATCCCACTTCTGGGTGCCAGTATCATTAAAACCATTTCTACGGATGGCGTGTCATCATTATGTAAATGAAGTAGCATACATGTAATGTGTAATAACATAAACCAGAAAATTCATACCGGCCCCAATCCTCAACAAAAAAACATACAAATAGAAGAGTTGGGTTTAGCAGTCTGTCTACTGAAAAAAGTATGCCTGATTACTCTTATGTTCATTTTAGTTTTCCTCCTTTTCTGATTTTGCCAGCAAAAATGAAAAATTGGCGTTTCGCATCCACCCCCTCCCATTCCACTTCCCCATGAAACTCACAGGCTTCCTGATTTTGGTGTCTTCAGCTGAGCTGGTGGAGCTAGGCGGGCCTCTGTTCTTCCACCGATCCCGGTGTGTGGGAGAGGCTTGGTTGTTGGAGACGATCTTATTGGGACTGTGGACCACTGAGTTGGGTAGACTGGAGGCTAGACTGGCCATTGCTGTATTGGAGGGGGAAGAAGGTGGGACACAAGACAGGGAACACAATTTCAGAAATTTAGAAGGGGTTCTGGACAAAACGAAGCAGTTATCAGTTTCACATTGGCATATCCCTTTTCATGCCTTGAGCGGTAAATAAGGAGAGCATTCGTGTCAAGACAACAAGATGCTAACTCATCAGAAACTCAGAGTAGTAACCGAGTCAAATAGCAAGTCAATCACAAGTCAATCGCAAGTTCTTCGTCACACTTCAGTTGAACAGCTTGACCACTATTTTCAGCAGTGGCAACTTGTGATTGACTCGCGATTGACTCCTGAGTCAAAGACAAAAGAATGATGCAATATATGAACGATATCAAGAGAGAAAAAATGCCGGGAGCTATCGGGGGGGGGGGGGGGTGATGAAATCGGTGACAAGCAGTTAGATAGTCTAATGACAAAATGCAGAAACATTGGAACAAACAGAAGAAACAAACTGAGGAATCTTCTTTACATAACGGCCTAAACACTGGCAGAAATGCCATGGAGCTTTAACCACAATATCACAGACCTGTCAACGTTTGTATTCTGTGTCTATTATCTAAAGGCATTGATGGAGATGTCTGTCAGTAGCACACTGCTCCCCATATGTTTTCAATGCCGGCACCCAATTATACTCCTGTTTAGTCCTAGCCCACAACTGGATTATTACATGTTCGCTTAATGCAGAATAGTCCCTCCTTGAAAAGCACATCGCTACATAAAAAGATGATTCAACCCAAAACTTTGGAATTGAGGCACTTTTACCTGAGAAATTCCTGGCATACCGGTACCTCCTACATGCACATAAATAATAGTAGGCTTGAGGAATGCTCAGAATTTTCTTGGTACTTGAGCCAACATTCCCAAGACTGGAATAGACCTAAGAGATAATGACCGCACAGTTTGTTTACATACATGTGCAGCCTCGACTCCATGGGCGCGTGCGCGTTCCTTCACTAACCCCTGGCCGTGATGTACATGTAAACGATGCTGACTTGCTATTCAAAGCATATTGCGCACGCATTTCGAAGATTGCACGCCGGGTGCACCCATAATGCGCTTGCGTGCTTTGCACGTCACGTCACGTATGAAAATTGTTTGTTATTCAAAACTCGCGATGCCTGTACGATAGGGATTATGGTAGCCTCGTTTTTCGCTTAAAAAACCCTGTATCTTCGGTTATAAAGGGACGAAAGGGGTACGTACATTTAATACAAATCTTTGCTTAATAACGCAGCATCCAAACCTTATGTTTGAAAGGATTGATTCTTCAAAATCACAACTTTCAATATTTTAAAGATGGCGTCGGCGCATAAAACGGATAAACTGCAGCCTAATTATATGTGCCATATTTTGATACATTTTAATGAGACAAATCCAGGGGTTGAGATCGCGCAAGGCATGATGGGAAACAACATGGCACAGCAAGATCTCGTACCCATGGGAATGAGGTTGATACATGTGCGCTTTCCTATGGGAGCTTGGTGGATGTAGTCCCCACCTGGCCCTAATTTGAAAGCGCACATGTAACCAATGCAAGACGTCATTATGTCTTGGGTTTATTGATTCATCTTGTTGATAACGCTCTCTACAAAAAACATGCAAGCTGCATGGTGCAACATGAATATTCATTAGTCTCCTGATCCTTAACCAATCAGACTGCTCCGTCCAAATCTGGTAGCAAGTGCCATACATTGTGTAGAAAGTCGAGAACAGATTATGCAAGTCACTAATAGACCCTTCTCATAGACAGCCATCTTCGAAGGAAAATTACAACTGCCTGTTCAACGCCATCAGGTCCTTGTGCGCGCAGTGTGCAAAATGTTCTAAAACACGCGCACATGTTGCTCAAAATTCTTTTAAAATACGGCGCTGCCGTTGCGCATCACAAAAAGTTGACGCCCAAAATGCCGATCCACGTGTCAATCTGTAGGAAGTGACGTCATTTTGGAGAGACCTATTGGTATCGACCTACACGCATATTGGGGCCGAGGATGCACAAAGCGTCCCTGCAAATTAGTGCCATACCACACACTTTCCGTATACCCTGGAATCATATGCTGCATCTGTCCACCCCCGTGCGCGGTGGGCGAACTGCCCCCAATTACCGACAGCCAATTACCAATAAATCGCGCATGTGTCATGGCAAGCTGTAGCCCTGTAACTGGATGTGGCTTCAGCTAAACTCGACAATTCTGCTCGACTTTTTGCAAATTTGTCAACACCAATCCTGCTAAAACCAGACACCTGTGCAATAATGAAAGACTAAGACAAATGGGGACAAAATGACGCAAGATTTTAGGACATACATGTATACACGGACAGACAGTACTGATACAGAAAAAACTCATGAATTGCAGAGACAGACAGTTGTAGACAAACAAAACCAGTGGTGACAGACAGAGTGACACAGACCCACAGAGGGATGGACCATGATGCTACAGATGGGAAAGTCTGAAACATGACAAGACAAGCTAAAAAGGAAGATTGACAGAGTAAGTAAAATGAGAGCAGAAATGAGATTGACAGAAACAAAATATTCAAAACACACTTTCTAGATATCCAGATAATAATGGAAGAAAGAATAAAAAGAGGGAAATTATCTACATTCTACAAATCTTAAACAGTATTATCTGTCCTTCATTTGGTGTAAACACTTCCAAATGTCTCAAACTGTTGTTAATTTAAATCATGGACATTCCAACTCGCACATTTTGAAACCGAGAGAATTTCGAAATCAACCCTCACAGTTTGTTTAATACCCAGCTGATTAGTTTAGTACAGTGCAACTACGTATATTAATAATAGTCCACATCTAACCTGTATACATTCACAGCCCTTTTGTGATTTTTTTGTTCGGATATGTTAAAGCGTGAAGCGAAGCATGATAAGACTCACCAGGTAGTGCACTGGTTGGGCTGTAATCAAAGACAGTATCGCGCCCAGCGCTCAGAATGGTAGGCGTGAAGCTAATTTGGCGCGGCCGGGCCACACTCACTGCAGGGCTTACTGCGTGCGTGTGTCTGGCTCCAAGATCTAGGAGTGGGGAAGGTGAAGGGAAGGGATTAGGGGGGAGGTGAAGGGCATAGACGAGGAGGGGACGGGGTAGGATAGGAATGGATTGGAAGGAATACATTGGGAATGTTTAGGAAGGAAAAGTGTAGGGAAGGCATGGATATGGAAGGAAAAGGATGGATAAGGAAGAATGAATTGGGAATGAATAGGTAGGACAGGGAATGTGAGAAATGTATAGGGAAGAGAAAGGGTTGGGAACGGATGGATAGGGAAGGAAAAGGATGGATATGGAAGGATGAATTGGGAATGAATAGGTAGGACAGGGAATGGAAGGAATGTATAGGGAAGGGAAAGGGTTGGGAATGGATGGATATGGAAAGAAAAGGATGGATAAGGAAGGATGAATTGGGAATGAATAGGCAGGACAGGGAATGTGAGGAATGCATAGGGAAGGGAAAGGGTTGGGAACAGATGGATAGGGAAGGAAAAGGATGGATAAGGAAGGATGAATTGGGAACGAATAGGCAGGACAGGGAATGGAAGGAATGTATAGGGAAGGAAAAAGGATGAGAAGTGATGGATAGGGATGGAAAGGGTATGGAAAGGGTTGCGAAGAAAAGGACAAGCGGAATGGGAGGAAATGGAAGGGAGGGGAAGGGATGGATATGGAAGGAAAAAGATGGATTTGGAGGGTTGAATTGGAAATGAATAGGAAAGGAAAAGGGTTGGATAGGGAATGGAAGGGATCGATAAGGGTGGGAAAAAAGGTAGGACAAGGAATGGAAGGGATGAATCGAAGAGAGAAAGGGTAGCAAAGGAAAAGGGAAGGTATGGATAAGGAACACAAAGGGTTAGGCAAAGGGTTTAGAGAAGGAAAGGGCAAGGAAGGGGATGGGAAGGGTTTTCATGGAAGGAAAAAGGTGGATAAGGAAGGATGAATTGGGATTTATAAGGAAGGAAAAATGTTGTAAAGGAAATGGAGGGATTAATAGTGAAGGAAAACAGAGGAGGGATGAATAGGAAACAAAAACAGTAGGGATGGGTATTGAAGGAAAGGATAGGGAAGGGAATGGAAAAGATGGAATAGGGATGGGAAGGAAAGGAAAGGATTTAAAGGAATACACGGGGATGGATAGGAAAGGGCATGGACAAATTTATAGAGCAGGAAAGGATTGGGAAAGGAATTAAAGTAATGGATAGGGATTGGTAGGGAAGGGAATAAATAGGAATGATATGGATGGGGATTGAAGGAATGGATAGGGAAGGAACGGATACGAGAAGGGAAAGGATATGGATAGGAAAGGGAATTGAAGGAATGGAAAGGGAAGGAATAGAGATGGGCAAGAGAAGTAAAGCAGAGGTAAAAAAGTGCCAAAAAGAGGGGAGGAAAATGACAAGAACAATCAGGCACCACAACAAGTAAATGGGGAAGCGGGCAGAGGTCCATGAGAAAAGGTTGAGATGTGAGACATTGATTAAGTGCATGGGGTACCAACAAGTAATGGTTTTACAAAACAGAGTTATGAGAGTATCTTTAAGATTAAGGACAGAATGACAATGAAAGAGGCAGTTTTTTTATGGAGCAACAACAACAGAAATAGGGGGACAGGATGTTGTAAGATATGATGCAGAGTTTTGAGTAAACCACATGTCATATTTCAAGTGAGGGCACAAGAGAGCAACGACAAAGGAATGCCTTTGTGAGGGTTTATTTGGATAGTCTGTCTCTTGACCTGGAACAGGGTGACTTGTGGTTGACATCTGATTGATGTGTGGTGACTTGATTTCAACTCTTGGTATCAGTTTTGGGGACAAGAACAATCACACGTCATCTAATCTCAAGTCAAATGACAATCTAGTCTCAAATCAGGCGACAATCTCGTCTCAAAAAAATGTGACAATCTAGTCTCAAATCAAGCGACAATCTAGTCTTTAATAAAGTGACAATCCGGTCTCAAATCAAGTGACAATCCAGTCTCAAATCAAGTGACAATCGAGTCTCAAATCAAGTGACAATCTAGTCTCTACTCAAGTGACAATCTAGTCTCAAATCAAGTGACAGTCTAGTCTCGAATCAAGTGACAGTCTAGTCTCGAATCAAGTGACAGTCTAGTCTCAAATCAAGTGACAGTCTAGTCTCAAATCAAGTGACAGTCTAGTCTCAAATCAAGTGACAGTCTAGACTCGAATCAAGTGAAAAGCTTTTCAAATGAACTTTGGCACAGGCATTCATTTGTCATTGTCCATCCCTGCATGTTACTTGTGACCTGACTTTTGATTTGACTTCTGATTGACTTCTAACTTTGATTGACTTGATCAACATAGCAAATGTGTTTCGATGACAATGTTGACGATGCAGATGACAAAAATGACAATGATGGAGGTGAAAAGTGGTGACATATAAATGACAATTGTAATGATTGAATTCGATGATAACTGAGCTAAAGGTGACAAAGGCCATTGTGATGATTATAATCAAAATCATAATCAGAACCTTAGTCACAATGACAATCACAATCATGTTCTGACACGGATCATAATGAACACCATTAACATGATGAATGCAATGTATGACTACATCAGCAAATCAGTACTAAAAAGTAAAAACGTACGATGATAATGATGTTGACAATGTGATAACAATCTTTAAGACTACATGTATAACAATAAGCGTGATGAAAGATGATGAAGCAATGAAATAACAAAAGAATTGTTACAAAAAATAAACTTGTATTCAAGGTTCAATGTAACTTCAAGGCAGAAATCAAAGAAACATGGCGACGAAGAATTGCTTTGAAATGAAGCAACCAAATTGGAGGGAAAGATACACTGATGAACAACAAGCGAGTTGGAAAATGAGATCTCACAACACTGGTGTGGATTAAAATAAATGGGTTAAACATTCACAACATTATTTTATAATGATCCTGGTCAGTCAGTGAATTAGTATTACTGAATGTAAGTTAGGAAAATAAAACGGGCACCCTGCATATACAAATGAAATACCAGCATCATGCAAATTTGACAATTTGTTTTGGAATGAGTGGATTTAACTCAGTAACGGAGAGAGTGGAGAAAACGACGTACTGGAAATGAGAAATAATTTACTTTACTGAAAAGTCAACAGTTTTGCATCCAACGTTCTGTAAGCTGTAATATTTTCTTATTTCTTCCAGGTGGATTTTGTGAAACTTTTCATGATGGAATTTCAATAAATTTCTTTTTTATGCCTTTAAATGCCAAAAGTTATAAATGAAACTACTAGCAGCAATGCTTCTAACTCTACTTGGATTTCACGCAATTTTAACAAGCTGAAAATGCAATCCAAGGGTTCAGCAAAACTCTCAGGAAAATAAAGACTGTCATGCTCAAACTTTGCGTTTCGGAAACAGAACATACCAGTCAAAAACTTAAAATACACAAAAATTAAGAACAATTGATGTTTTTTTTTCTTCTCAAACATTCAATGGATTTCTACTTCAAGCTGTTATGATATAGGTTAAGGCAAACAGAATTGGGTTTTTTTTTCAGAAGGAAGTGGGTCGAATGGGGAGGAGACGTCCCATGCGAAGAGGGTTGGGGTGGGTTTAGGAATGCGCTCGGCCCGGCTATGCAAGCTAGCTAGCATGTTATTTTTGGAGGGTGGTGTTCGGCGGTGATTTGTAAGTTAAAGCTGCCCATAACCATTCAGCCCAATTACAGTTCAAGGCCTAATTGATGGAACTGCTAAGCAGAGAAAATGATTGCTTAGCCAAAAATGGGTTACCAGCCAAAATGCCATGTGACGTTACACTGCTGCGACCGGTTCCCCGCATATTTCTGCTTACAACATAATTTTGCTAAGCACTATTTCCTGCTTGGCACTCCATCAAATCGGGCCCTTGTGCTCTGTTACTGCTTACATGCAAAGGGACATTCTCTCACTCAAAGCAAATGCTGTTAATCTTCCTAAAACCTCCTTTACTAAAAAAATCATCTATTGTGTCCATTGATTGAACAGAAAGCTAAAAGATAACTATTTGTCTCCGTTTTTAACCAACAAAACAAAATTGGTGTGCTATGCTAAATATGCCCTCACGCTAAATGAAATATCACTGTGCCAAGGACTGGTCGATCCCTGAGGAGGCAAATGTAGTTGCTTTTTAAAAGAGGACAGGAGAACTGATTCTTACCTGCTGGATTTTGTTTAAACACAAACTTTGAGTCGCTGAACGCCTGCAGGAAGAAAGGGGCGAACACAAACAGGTTATACAAAAACTTCATTTTTGACAAGGAACTTTCAAGGAACTTTCAAGGAACTTTCAAGGAACATGTCAAGGAACATTCAAACCATTTTAAAAAAAATTCTCAAAAACAGTCCATACAGGAAACATAAACACACCAAAAAAATTTAATCAAACAAAAAAAACAGGAATATTACCATTTCTTTCCAGATGCTTGATGAAAAATGGGAGGATTTTTTTCAGGTTTCGTATTTTTTTATGGGTACAAAATGAAAGCATTTTTCTAGTCTAGCAGAAACGAGCTTTGACTCCATGGGCTGCGTGCACGTTTCTTCACTACTCCCCGGTCGTGCAGAATATGAAAACAATGCTGACTGACTATTCAGAGCGCACTGCGTGCATATTTGGAAGGCCAGACGTACCATATGCAACGGCGTTATCGCCTGCACGTCAAGTACAAACTTTTTTCCCAAGACTGCGCGACGCCTCTACAACAATGAAAGTCTGGAAGTCTTGTTTTTCTCGCTAAATACCTGTATTTTGTGTTGTAAAAGGGACGACAGGCGTACGCACATTATCAATTCTACCAACGCGATGTCGAAATCTCATCTTTGAAAGATTGACTCTGCCCAAAAAAACTGCAAACTCAGCAAATATTTACTGTGTTTAGCAACTTTTCGTGCTCTACGAAAATTGGGCCTTGGTCTCCAGTTCACAAAAATCCTGCTCTACTAAAGGCATTCACTTTTTTTGTAGACCGCCACACTCACCTCGTTAGAGATTGCATTGACGGCGTTGAAGCTGACGTTAGGTGCTGAGGTGGACCGTTCTCTGGGTAGCGTTGCCTTGGGGGGATCTGTTGTGATGGGCGTGGAGGGAGACTCCGGCTCTTCGCCGTACGGATCTTCGTCCTCGTCGACATTCTTCATTAGAAGCCTTGAGATGAGGAAAGGGAAAAAAAGAAAAACAATTCTGAAAGGAGATTTCTTAGCCTGCTGAATTCTTTTTAAGGTAAATTCACCTATCAAAACCTATTAAGCCCGGTTCATACTTTACACGAAAGCATGTGCGAAGCGAAATTCATGTCGTCAACAATGGTGGACGCGTTTCAAATGTATTGTTGACGTCACGAATTTCGCTTCGCTTTCGCTTTCGCGTGAAGTATGAACCGGGCTTTACCCTCAAGTGTAATTCGGCTGGAAACCATGCCCAATTCAACAACATGCAACACTTGTCAAAGTGAGAAGCCTGCCCAGCGTTGCAAGATCTAACTTCCCACGCAAAACTGCCTCAAACGCCTGTGGTTGCCGACTAGCACAGGATAAAACATTAGCCCTAACCTTCCCAAATCCTCCAAAATCCTCTTTGCAAAATGGAGGATTTTGCAGGATTGAGGCTACATGGCAAATGTGTGCTGCTGATTTCAGAGGATGCAATGTGTCAAGGTCTTGGGCCGGACATTGTGTTGTTTATGCTCAGCTGTGCAGAAATGTGGACCTAGATCATACTTGAAATCCTCCGCACTGCTCCAGGATGTCACTGGCTGTGCCTCAACATAATGACAGTGATTGCCAGAGGATTTTGCAGGATTGAGGCAGTGGTCACTCCTCCAAGGACCACATAAGTTGTAGCGCAAGTGGCCATTTGCGTAAAGTTTTGTGAAATAGGCTGCAGGGGGTTAACGTCATTCCTCATGTATGAAGGACTCGTAAAAAAAACCGCTTACATTTTATACAGGTTCTCAGCGACGCACAGCGTGGGCACTTTGCTGGCACATCGCTGGTGGAACTTGTAGCCGCAGGTCTGACACCGGAAACCGTGGAATAATAACTTGTGACAGTTGTCGCAGAACATTAGCGTGAAGAATGTCTTCCTGACCTGTGAGTCAAATGGGCAAAAAAATTGATAAAACACTCATTTCCAACGCAGATCCGCACAAACTCACAAGACAATACACTACCACAAAAGTTAAGTACCTAAATATAACAAATTATGGTAAATTATACATAAAAATGTGCAAGTGTTTTTTGGAACTGGATTGTTCACCGATTAATCTCCTTTGTTTGTCCGGCTTTGAGACATTACAAAATGACAAAAACTGTGAAGGACAAAAAAATACTTACAAAATTGTGGGATATGCTCCGTGCTGTGGGATATTGTTCAGACACCTCAACGCAAACCTGTCATAGAAAAGGGGGTTAAAAAAGTAATTTCTTAAAAATTGTTACAATTTTTAAGATCTAACTTTAAAGGTTTAACCAAAAGGTTTTGCAATACTAAAATGCATTATTTCTGTTGTTTTCCCCAAATACTGTCCACGGTGGATTTATCCAAGATAATGACAAACACAGTTCCGGACAACAAATGAGACAAGGGAAAACTGGCATGAAAATGATAAAAACGGTTGTGAATGTATATTTTGAATTGAAGGGTCAGATGTTGTATCACTTCAGGGACAGGTTGATCCAAGGTAATCCTCTGATAAACCATGTTATAGTCCAGTTTAGAACACCTCAACCACAGATTCTGTATCTTGCTTGGCCGAGAGCGAGTCACACGGTTAACAGCAACCTTGTCCCCAGGGGTAACTTTCTTTTCAACCTCATATCCATCAGTAACCCCTGGACGGGAAACTTGCTTCCTGTATCCTGAGTCGATACAGCAATGGCAAGCAGTGGATTTATATACATGTACGTGTTTCATAATGAACGTGTTTTAATATGAATTTCTTTCCATACAAGTGTGCACAGCACATGTGGTATTCTGTGGTATTTGGTACTTGACCCCCAAACAGCCCTTTGGGGGTAAGGGTTAAAGTTCATTATAAATGCGTAAGTCCACCGCTTCGAAAAAACATCTTCCCAGTTAGTGGAAGCATACTGCTCGACACCATGGGAACGAGGTTGGGTTAACAGTAGCCTTGGTCCAAGCCTGGATTCAGAATTTTTTTTCATCTTATGCAGCTGGTCTCAGACAAGCATAGAGGGCGCTATCAACAAGATGTATCCATGCCACTCTGTGAAAAATCAGGTCCAGTCTGGCACTGGGACTGGCGGTTATACATCATACACGCATTTATAGCATGCGAGGCATGCTCAGAATTTCTCGGGTCACAGTGCCAACGTTCCCAAGACAGGATTTGATTCATCTTGTTGACAAACCCCTCTACCGATGCAGTGACTTGACTGCACTTGCCAGAAATGGGGGACCAGCAAGAGAAACAACATCCACCAGTCTTGAACCAAGCTTCGGTTTACAGTTAAAAACTCACTTCTTCCCCAGCTAGGTACATCATGTCCGTGTCCCACGCTACTGGATGCCTGGGCTGGCGTTTGTAGACATTGCACATTTCCACCGTCAGTTCTCTCACCTTCATGGCTTTGGCCAAGGCGTCTCGCAACGTCGTACCTGGCTTGCAAAGTACCTACAAATGGGAACGATAATGAGCGATCAGATTGGGGTTGGTGAAGAAGAGGGGGTCGTAAAGGAGGATTTTGAAGTATTGAGGACCTTTGAAAACCAAAGCACTGGAGGATTTTGCAGGGCTGAGGACATAACAGGATTTTTGCCTCCGGAGGATAATGGAAGATCTAGGTTAGCAGGTCCTAATTCAATGCTGGATGAAATTGGACGCTTGAGGCTCTGGCTGGTTGCCAGGAAAAAAAATGATTATGGAGGATTCAGGATATCACTTGCTTTATGCATGAATACTTGGGCAGGCATCCAGCATATGGGATCTGTGCACAAGTACCGGTACCTTTTCAAAGGCCAGAAAAGGAGAGTTGGGGGAGACCAAGACTGGTTCCTGTTCCATCCACTGTGTACATGTATTTCGAATGATCTAAAGTTATTGGGGGCAGGGATTAGTCTAGGAGACCATCGCAAGTTAAATTTGAAAGTATTCGTGCGCCGACGATGCCTGAGAATCACGCGAAGATGCTGTGGCTAATAGCTGCGGCACATTCAGGAAGTTGTGCGTACTTCGCACGCGAACCAGTACACGGGGCTCTCAAATGTGGTAAAAACGTGCCCTCTTTTGTTGGCGCACAGAGCCCATACCACTGTTTATTGTACAGCCTCTTTCCTCAAACTATTTAGGGCCTTGGCATTGCCAATCCACAATACAGGATAACAATGGAGGACTTCAATAAATTACACGGGCTAATGAACTCATAAGTGCATTAAAATCCGATTATGTAATAACATACAGCAAAACCCAGTGGAAGATTTCAAATGATCCAGGCTGAGGCCTCCAGCGATCAAAATCGGTTGAATTTGAAGGATTCACGTGCTCAGAGGTTTGAACTCTTTGCATTGGAGGACATTGAAGGATTTGGGCAGCTTCTGGACAAGAGAGCTTATGGAGTTAGGGTTAAATAAAATACTCTTGTGAGGAGGTGATCTGAATAAATTTCTGAACAAATGAGAAAGTTAAACAAACTACATGTACATGTAACTTTAATTAAAATTCCAGAGTTGGACATTCAGTCAAACAAGGAAATCTCACTCACTGATGTTCTCTGCTTGTTGGGCAAGGAAGCCCGCACGTACTTGCTGACAGGCGGCGACGTCGGGATCTCCTTGGCAACGTAGGCATCGTCGCCGACGTGGGTCCGGACAGCGCCCTCTAGTGGCCTGTAAGGACCATGCGCGAAGGGCCCGTCTGTAGCAGTGAGCGTCTTGAGGGAGTGCGGGTAATGCGGGCCGGGCTCAGGGGTGTACGGGGAGGGGACCGGTGAGGGCGACTGCCGGCCATTGCTCATGCAGTCCTGCAGCTCCTGCTTGCGCACCTGTAGCTCATTCAGCTTTTCCGTCAGCTCTTCATACTCCTACATGTACATTGGGTCCAAAAAAAGGAAGTAGAAAGATTGTTTAAATGCTGTTGAAGGCAAAACCTTCACAAAAAACCTAGAGTTACTTCATGTACGCTCATCTGTATATTTCTCCTGAGGTATTGGCAGTATCTATATATATAAGAGAGAGTTTAACTCGGCCTCCCAGACGATGTTTGCTCATGAAAGGATCCGAGACCGCGGGCTCACGCGGCGCCAGAATCGCTCCACGTCCGTGGAAAAATGCGGAGGGTGTCTTCCGCCAGGTTGGACACTTCGTGTCGTCCTGATTTTCCCGTACGGACCGGCGATCCGTTTCGTCGATTTTTCGTGACTGCGTTTTGCGCAGGAATTTGCCGTCGTGTGCGCTTTCACGTTGACTGCCTGGCCGCCCCCTGTGCTGGCTTTTCTGCGTGTCTAGACTGTGCGAGGTCAGCGGCTTCAACGTAGGGGTTCCGTTTACGTGTTCTACTCGGCCGTTCTGCAAAAGCGTTCACCAAATGGTGGATGGGGTGACCTTGGTAAAATATTTTTTCTCCATGGTGCGTGGCCACCAAGTGTCCCTATTCTTTCATATGCTTCGCTTGCCGCCCCTGCGCTGAGTGCAACGAATACTCAGAATGACTACACATTAGTATGCCTTGCGCGGTCTGACCAATCGAAAGTCTACACTGCGTAGTATTTCCGGGCTATGCAAAACTGTCGATGGCAACGCGTACTGCAGCCTGCTCCACACCCTGGAAACGAGGTTGGGTCTACGGTGCTCGCTATTTGAAGCGCAAACATGTGACGTCGCGTGATAGAGTGCTGTTGCTTCCATAATGTGTTTACAGCTCCATGCTTCCACTACCAAGGCTGAGCGTTGTGAGTTCGCTGCCCGCCACGTATAATTCAGTGTCGTGTTATAATTTCGGGGGCCTGTTTGGGGTCAACGAAGGATCGATGCATTCACAAAAAAATCTACGAAAGTGTCCGACCCGGCGGAAGACACCCACAATTTTCCACGGACCTGGAGCCATTTTGGTGTCGCGGGAGACCGCGGTCTCGGATCCTTTCAGGAGCAAACATTTCTCGGAGGCCGAGTAAAACTTGCTCTTATAAAGATGGTTGAACCAACTTCAATAAAAGCTAAATCGCTTTTTCCTCGAAGACGGTCTCGCAAATTGTAAGAAGTTCAAGTTTACGTTTGTTGAAGAGTTCAATACTGAAACTTAATTATAACCTTCCTCCATGATCGTTTGTAATTTTATGGTAACACTCAACATTTTCATTTCAAATGACACCTTTACGTTTTATTGCATTATGATTTATTGTCAAAACTGTACAATCAGCCTTCGCCTGTGTACTACGGTAACCTTTTCACTGCGTTTTCCAAATGCGACTGCCTTACAAAATGCCAATTTAACAGACCAACGGGAACATTTACAGACAGTTGCCATGGTACATAATTATCATGTGCGTAAATCGACGGGGGACAGGGGAACCCCCCCCCCCCATTTTAAAGCGGGGGATATTGTTTGGTTCCCCCCACCACACTTTTTCTTCCCCGAATAAAAATTGTAGCCTACAACAATGATTCTATTGCTCAGAATACATGTAGCTGATTCAATTACTCCAAACTCAAAACTTTACAACATGATCTTTTGCTGAAATTGGTTTTAGTGGTCAGAAATTGCCTCGCATCACACCACAGAAATTGCTTTTCTATAACTGCATGTCTCCTTAACTATATCCCCATTTACATTTAACTCCCCAAATTTTCATCCCCAACACTACGCCCTACCCGATCTATGATCGGGTAAATCAGCTTGTCTGTCATATTCATGCAAATATTTTGATCATGACCCTGACAGATCTTTTACAAGATCCACTTGGATGTCTTGGATCTTTGTAAAATGTGCAAAAAGCTCCTTGTGGAATCTGAAGGAACCGGAAGTGTAAGGATATTTTTAAACGACAGGACGTCAGTTTGTTATTCATGCTAGTGTGTCGTACATTGGAAAAAAGTAAGGTATGGGGGTTAGCTTTTTATGTGTGCGGTCACAATATTGGCAACCAAAAGTGGGACATTAGAGATCTGAAGCAAGATGAAAGCTGAATGCTGTTAGTTTTCTCTTCAATTGTTTTGAGAAACATCCCTTTAACCCTAACTCCCTAGCATGATTTACTAGCAACCATACCCATCCTGGCAAATTCCAACCCCATATGGAAAACTGCACCCACATATTTCTGACCGATTCTGGAGGCGTGCCAACCCAATGTAAACCCAATGTCAGTTTAGGGGTACTGTACCCATCCCGACAGATTCCAACAAAATATGCCGTTGGGGTTTGATGGGTTGAGTTCTGTTAGGGTTAAGTGGAAAACAATATTGAAAATACTTACTAAAAGGTAAAAAATTTAAATCTGCTTCCGGTTTCCCTACCTACCCTATTCTAAGAGCCCCTACCCTATTTTTTTTTTTAATGGGAAAAATGAGAAAAAAAACACCCAAAACCATCAATTCTACCTTTTACCCTTGACTACACGCAGACACCTCCATATGATCGTACACACACAAAAATGGCCAAAAAAAAAACTCCCTACCTACCTACCCTATTTTCGAATGTCACGTTATCGGAGGCAGAACTTTTTTTTTTTGGTCTTATAAGAATTTTTTTTTTTTCACCCCCTCATATGAGAAACAAAATCATGGTAATTAAAATGTAAGTTTCACTTTTGTTATCACTGCGTACCAAGTGGTGATATCGCAATTTAAAAAAAAGGAGGAGTTCACGATATAAATTGATAAATAGCTCCAGACATACAGTATCACAAAGAAAAGGTCCATTAGTCATACAAATGTTTGCATGCAAGATTCAAATTACACGTACAGCTAGTCTGGTTTCCTGGCCTGACAATTCCCAATGTGTAACCGATTGCAAACAAAATGTGGACTAAATAAATTTGGTCAATTGGGGTAGTATTTGAGAGAGAAAAAAAATGTTGTTTTTTTTACCCAAAATTCCACTTTTCTTGAAAATGACAGCATACCAGGCACATGGGATGCTTGAGACTATTATTCACGTATAGTCAAGTCCGATATTTCATAATAATTTGGTAGTTTCATTTTTTAATGTTTTGCAAATGTTGTACAATTGACCTATAGCAGTTTGCGAGTTAGCCACGCCCCTTAGACAACCCTATGGAATTTTTGTTTTAAATTGCGCATTCCGCGTCCATTTGCAAATGTTGTACAATTGACCTATCACTGTTTGCGAGTTAGCCACGTCCCTTAGACAACCCTATGGAATTTTTGTTTGGATTTGCGCATTCTGCGTCCATTTGAATATCGTGCAATCGGACAATATTTCGTAAGCTGCGTTGGCGGGATTCTACCACCATAGGTTAATTACAAATGTTGCTGACAGAGAAACTACATTTGTACATGTACCAATCATAACTGGCTATAGCAAGAAGTAAAAGTGAACGTCACACCAAAGGATTAACTGATTCCTGGAATTTGGTTGTAACCCTTTTTTTTTTCATTCTGTACCTATCCTTTCAGAGAAAATGTAAGATCAGTTCTTTCCGATATTTTCAACACACTATGGTAGGCCCTATAACCTGCCATTAACATACATGTAAAACTATCTCCATCCAGTCAAACTCCAACACCAGGGTTTGTTGGAATCTGTTGGACTGTGTATTGCACTGATTAACTGATTATGCTTCACATGGGGTTTGGCATACGACCAATAATCAGAGTCCAACCTGCCAACAGTGTTTGGGTACAGTTTACCACATAGTGTTGGAATTTGCAGGGACTGAGGAAGGTTCCTAGTATTCATAAAATACATTTAAAAATGTACCGGTACTCTATAACACCAATGGTTGCAATAGATAACTTCCATTGGACTATGCAACATAACCTTTGCTCAGAACAATGCTACAGATACTTGTACATTGTATACAGAGTATGTTAATTACACAGCACAGGAAATAGCCCTAACTTGGCACATCCATACAATATCCAACCCTAATTTTCTCCAACGGAAACAGTATATCCTAGTCCTACCTCAGAATTTTGTAACTGCGAGGGTCAAATTGTACACTGTCAGGTGACAATCGGGGATTTTCTATTGTTTTTTCTCATCATCAATCGTTTGTTTATACTTTTTGCAACAGCTCCCACTGGTTTTGTACACGTTTTCTGATCGAGGTCGTCCTTGATTGAACTCCTGTCCTCCATTACTCGATTATGCTTCACATGTGTGTCCTCGATTTTCACCATAAACATGCGCATGTACATGTATGTATACATGTACTGTATCTTTGCATTTGGGTTATTCTATATGGGGTCCTTTCATCCACTTTTTCTCTGTCCGTGGTACATCTTATGTACGGTGCATATGATTTTATAATGCTGGATACACTGCAGTCGTTCTCTGGGAGTGATAATGAATAGCAAACTACCTCCCCAACAAATAAAAAAATCCTTTGAAGTCATTCTTAGCCCTAAACTTCCTCAATCTTCCAAAGTCCTTGCGGATTGAGGATGAATGCAACATACAATTTTTGAAGATTTTGGAGGATTGAGGGCACACGGACATCGCTTGATTTTGGAGGATTGAGGCTGAATGGTGTTTGAAGACGAGGAGGCTTTTGGATGATTGCGGCTGAATGTATTCTGAGAGGCAGGGCTGTTGGAGGATTTTGAAGGATGGAGGCAGTGGGTATCCTTAATTGGAACATGCACAATTTGGGAGGATTTTGGAGGATTGAGGATGGTTCCTAGCAAAAAGGGCCTAGGGGTTGGGGTTAATAATGCTTGAATGGCAAATTACAATGTTCAGAGGTAACAGGAACAAGAAAAATGTCATGTTTTGGATCAAGGTACCGGTACATGTACATGTAGCTTGCTAGTCATAATCTCTCTTGGAGGACGACTGCATGAAGGAGTGCATCAGAATTATCAAATCACTGATGTCAGATGTAACAGGGACCCAAAAAAGGACGACCATTTGCATGCTGCAGCCAGTTGAAAAAAAAGTATTGCATATATGACATTTCAAATTTCTTGTACGCTGTACATGTGAATATAATCACATAGTGTGAGCCCAGGTATACCGGTAGCTGCCTTATAATTTTTGGTTTCTAAATATGATCCTGGAGACCCCCCCCCCAAAAAAAAAGACCTGAAAAGCTAAATGGCAAGTTGCATCATGTTCATGAGCCTATTATTACAATCCGTCCTCAAACTTTTCTTTTTTTTAATCCTGCTGTCAAATGAAATTGAATCTACTTTAGCAAGGCACCCGGGGATGAAAAAGAATAAAAAAGGGCTAAAGGACTTGGTGATACCCGATCGTCAGGCCTCAACAATGGCGACGGGCACGGTGCCCAGTATGTAACGCTAGAAGGCAGAAAAAGGGTTTTGAGGCAGGCCGAGGTATCGACGGCTGACACAATCAGTGAAAGGACACCGCTATTTACACACACCACACACAGGCTGCGCACAGAGAGAGGACTGCACAATGGTATGACTGATACCGGGAATATGATGAGCAACCTTTCATCTTTTGGCATACATGACTGCCCTGGATGCGGGGTGGCCAGAAACTATCAACTCCGCAAAGACAGCGAGAGCGCGAGAGAGAGAGAGAGAGAGAGTGAAAGAGAAGGGGAAAAAATAACTGGGGTTACTGCCCGGGTTTTTTGTGCGTGAGTGACCCGCGACGACGTGGAACAAACCGCAAGGAATGCCGCGTCTGGGACGAAGGGGGTCGTGATAATTACAGTGGCCGGTGCTAAATGACGGCTCAGAGTTTTTTGGGAGGTTGCCAAGAGAAACATGGTTCGGCCTGTACGCTGGAGAACTGTAGCAATATACAACCCATGAGTGACAGTTGATGACTTGGGCTGCAAAAACAAATACCGCGGAATGGGAACTACATATGTGTATGCTAAGTTCCTAAGTAATGTTACATCTGTAACCAAGGTTTTTAAAACAAATGACATATTGGGATACAGACATGTAATGTTTGACCTGTCATTTTTTTGTCAGAATACTGAGTCAACATAGGTACGGTAGTAAGCAATGATATGGATTGATGGAGGAAAGGCTTTCTGGATATTTTCAGAGCAAAGAGAATGCCGAGTGAGTCAAAAACAGAATTGGGAGGCAATTGCATTGTGACTTTTGGGGCATTTCTTGTCAAAGAAATGGTTCTGAACTTTTGACGGGACATCGACTTTCACCATAAAAAAAAATAAAAAAATTCTATTCGATACTGCAAACACATCATTTGAAATATGGGTGCCTTGGGTAAAATGAAAATGTTGCGATCAGGCTGCACAAAATGAAGATATGAATGATGTGACACATGATACATACCTCAACGAAGATGGAAGGGGGGTTGGGGCCGGAAGGGAACTTTGCCAAAAGTTCCTGAATGTTCTTCTTGGTCAGCTCGATGAAATGTTGCACATGATTGAGCTGGGGAAACAGAAAGAAAACATGCATTTGAATTACATACAAGTATCCCTAAACATTGCTCGATCCAAAGTCCTCTGTGTGCTTTTGGAGGACTGAAAGGGGACGAACCTGTGTTCACAGGAACAGAGTGCCCATCTCTCTTTCATTAGCGATTGGGTCAAACTCATATGCTGCTGTGGGGGTATCGCCACACCTCCTCCACAGCGAGTCTGTTACCTTCCCAGCATGGAATAATGCCGGTACCCATTTATCACCTGGGCTGAGAGGAGTAATTGAGGTAAAGCGCCTTACTCAAAGGCACAACAGGCATGGCCACGGCTGGGCTCGAACCCACAACCTCACATCATGAATCCTGTGCTCTACCCCTAGACCACAAACGTGCCCATGAAGGATTGAGGCTGAATGCAACTGAGGCTGCTGGAGGATTTTGAAAGATTGAGGCAGTGGGTATCCTTAACTTTGAACATAAAATGCAAAACTTTGGAGCATCTTGGAGGATTAAAGATGCATCCCAGCAAAGAGGGCCTAGGGGTTTTGGAATCAAGATATGACATTTGAAGGGCTGGGCAGCAAAGTTATCGGTTCCTGCTCAAAATTGTATGCAGTACGTACACAAGTGCTCAAATTTTAGGTGAAAATCTACTAGACTACAGTGTTTGTAGGTGAAAATTGACGAGGGCAAGTTTCTTCTCACAAGCCGTTGACCAAAAGTGATAAAGTACTTATAAAGTTAAGTTTGGGAAAATAAAAAAAATATAAAACATGTAGACTGTATTTTTTAATTACTGTTAATCAAATCCTTAAGCCAAAGTCAGGGAAAAAAAGTAGTATTCAGACATGCACATACATGTACCGGTACATGTACATGTATACATTATGTTGGTTGTGTGCAAAGTGATATGTCTATGGAAAGTCGTGGCGATATTCTGAGAAATTAGTTTTGAATACTGGAAATGTGCAGCGTATGCTACATGTACAAGCGATGTAAAATTGAAATCCGAGAATTTTTTTTTAAACCCTAACCCTCCCAAATCCTCCAAAATCCTCTTTGCAAAATGGAGGATTTTGCAGGATTGAGGCTACATGGCAAAAGTGTGTTGCTGATTTCGGAGGATGCACTGTGTCAAGGTCTAGGGAGTTGAGCTTAATATTCATTAACAATGACTGACAATCACTGAGATTACAATGTACCGGTATGCGCAAGAAAAAGTGGCACTGCATGCAGGATATTGTATTATTTCCCGGCATTGTAAGCACACACGTATACATGAAATGTGCAATGTTCACCAACAACTGAATGAGTAAGCACATTCTTATCACAAATGGAAGTCACCACTTACACGTAGTTCTGATTTTTCAGTACAATATCTATAACCCAGATCTTCCATAAATGTCGTACGGCTGCAGAAATTCAAAAACAGCTGCACAGAGTTTATCAAGATCGTGACATTTTTGGGGACGGGACCGAATGTCGGAATGTTGATCTCTAACACAGACAGCGGTGGTCTTCATCAAGGGCTGATTACTTGTAATTACCCTCATATCTCGTGAATATTTAATGAGCCAATAGGCTGATCTCATTGGTCAATATTCCGATATGAATCAAGGAAGTAAAAATAGCTGTCGTGTCCTGGATTTCTGCACTTTACTACTGTGATTCCAGGGTCAGCTATGGCGATAATACTATCTGGATTGAACAAAAACTGCTAGTTTGGTTCCAGTCTCACTATTCTCACGTTAAAAATGTCTTACACTGGTGTACATGGAACAGACAAGACAATGACATGACCACTGAACCCCAAACAAAATCAAAACAAAACCAAACAAATGCAACAAAACACAATAAAGACACAACAATGATTTTGGATTTTTGTAAGCGATACTGGTACATCGTAAATGTACAATGTACGTACACAATTATTTTTAAACAATGTTGTAAGTGCCTCCTTACTGCAAACATACATTCTGTGCCAAGTTGTCCTTTCAGTTCAAAACCAATCAAGTGACTGTTTTGAACAGTTAAGAGTTCCCAGCCTACATTACGCAGGATTGACTGGCTGGGACTGTCTGCTTTGACTGTAGGTGATAGATAAGCCAGCTGTGCCTACCCCTTGCCTGCTTTTGTCTGTTGACTGAATTGACTAGTCAGAGTGCTTGCTTAAAATATGGTCTGACTGTTGGCGACTAGCCTGTGTAAAAGCATGACGGGAAGAGGATTGATCTTTTCTTTTCTTTTATTTACATGTATTATTATTATTATTAATCATTTCTGGTAATGAAACCAAGGATTCCTCAAAAGCGCCCAAGGCAATGTAGCTCGCAAGACTGAAGAAACCTGTGGAGAGAAGACAATGAGAAGAAGTTACAGTTTTAGAGGTGGGAGGAAAAGCCCAGAAGAATATTCTGGGGAAAACCCATGGAATCAGGCAGGGACTGAAAACCCAATCCACATATTGGCCCAGGCGGGATTCGAACCCGGGTCACAGCGGTGGAAGGCGAGGAAAGTACCGCTACGCCAACCTGACTCCCCAACGCCAACATGAGTCACTATTTGTGACTGTTCAAGTAGCAGGAGGGTTAAGATGAAGAAAAACAAATGCTTGTATTATGCCCGGTTCATACTTCAGGCGAAAGCGAAGCAAAATTGGTGACGTCAACAATATGTTCGTCCATCACTGTTGACAACATGAATTTCCCTCTTCACACTTGCTTTTACGAGAAGTATACCGGTACATGGATTCTTCAAACTTTTAAAAAGAACAATACATTGGAAGAATTAACCAACTCACAATCTTAAAATGGTCACGTAAAGTCCCTGCCTGATTACAAATACAAAATGATATCTGAGTTGGGCGAAAACCCAATAGTGAATCTACATCTACAATGTACCCAATGGAAAATCAATGATTCAAATTAAGTTGGCCAGCGAGCTTTGACAAGCTTGGTTGTCATGTTGGTAAGACATCTGCACCAGTAAGCAGGAGGTCTTGAGTTTGAGTCCCACCCTAGTGAAAGTGCAAGTCCTCTTACAACAATTTATGTACAGTGCTTCTGAAATAAGTTGGTGAAGAAGGGCAAATAGCCAGTATTGAAAAAAAGGGTAACCATTGACATCTGTAGGCAAGCAACAGCATGCACAAACTGGATTAATAGTGTCATGCCATCAGTGATGAATTTATGAGATCTCTATGGACTGACGGGTATGGCCTTGTGATTGACTTCCCCAGTAGAAGTTAGGACCTAAGTAGGTCAGTTCACCAGCTGTGCATGTGTGTGTGGGGAGGATGTGTGGGGGGATATTTGGGGGAGGGGGTGTGGACTGAGGACTGTGGAGCGAGCGTATTGTCTGTTCAGACTGAAGTAGGTCAGTTTGCTATCTGTGCGCCAGGGGTGAGGGGAGGGGGAATTGGATGAGGAGACTACCGGTACGTGCGTATTATCTGTCCCTCCGCCCCACTGCCCATTTGGATTTTGGAACTGCCCAGTAGCATACATGTACATGTACATGTATACACACGTACATGTACTGTACATGTACACAGAACACACGTGTTTATCCAAATCAGGTCCTTGATAAATTTATCCTTACATGTACGTACTTCCAAGCACGATTCCATTATTAGTAGCAGATATGGGATTATATTTAGGCTTCCAGCATGCTCCCCCTGGCATACCTGAACTTGTATAGTATGACAGAATGCGTTTGTGTGTCATTCAAATGGTTAGCTGGGATTGTTGGAGGGTGATCAGCAATGCTCGGAATGCTCCTCATTTAGCAATCGCCTCCCAAAAATACAACAATAATGCAGTGAGCTACATGTACGTGTACGCATTAAATTCTTACAAATAACTTGTGTACATATCGGTACCGTACGTGTACGTACCAGTACGTAAGCACATTTTTTCTCCATATCTAGAGCTGGCTATTATGAACACATTCCAATCATGCTATTTTTCTTTTTAATAAAAAGGGACTTCAGAATGTTTCTTTCTAGGAAAACAAACTCTGTCGAATTCGTTCACTGGTCATTGATCAATTGATGCAGAAAATGATTGTGAAATAGCTGTGGTTGGGATTTCTTGGGGGAAAAAAAACTTTTTACAACTTTTCTCTATCCCTAAAAGTCAATTACATCAGAAATTCTGATTTTCAGTTTTGTAATATCAGCCTAACAGTGTTGAAGGAACAGAAAACAAACTATAATTTCTTATTTCCTACCAAATAATCTGAAGTCTGAATTAATCTTAAACCACAACTATAACTGTATTTTAACACACAATCATCTTTACCTGTAAATCAATCAATTTGAAGGTATTTATGACTTTGTTTTTCAAAGATTACATGTTCTTTTTAAGTTTTATGATAATCCCTACAATTCTTAACTAGGTTAAAGCATCCATGGTTAAAGCAAAGCACCCTTTTCTTATTTATAGAAATAATTATCGCTTGACATACATTAAAATTAAGTACACTACATGTACACTGTACATATCGGTACATGTCAGTACAAGCACATTGTACATACATGTACCGGTATGTATACATGCCCTCTTGTCCATCAATAATGGTACAAAAGGAAGTTGCACCCACGTTGTCATGAAAATTTTAATTTAAAAACTAATAAATCTTATCACGCTTTATACAGCATAAACCACAAAATGCCATTAAGAGTATAAACAGGACATTGTGGTTTTTGCCTTGGCCTTTTACACACGGTACACATGGGCGGCAAAGAAAGGTGCATACATGTACAAAATGTGCAATAAAACCCAAGAAACTACAAAACTGCTCTGGTAGATTTGAAGAAAACAATCCTATTATTGCTGCACATTCCAAGCCCAAACTGAAAGTATGCAAGGAATGGCTGTTGTAGTGTACAGTACATGCCTTTTTAGTAGTGCACTGTAAAGGGGCTTGACCTATGGCTGAATGGGCTGAACAATAGAAAGGTATGCGAGGTATTTCAGATAAGGCATTCCCAGCCAAAGGCTTAAAAAGG